AATACCCCATTGACGACCAATAACTTCCTTTTTCGATATATATAGTTGCGGGTGTGTTACCATACCATTACGAACTTAAGGCATTTCTCGAACACGTGTCAGATTTACGAGCAATCATATAACCTTTGTGTTACCACCCAAGGTGCTATGTTTTAACTTTAACAACCAGAAAATTATATATATATAGTACGAAAACTACCCTTACAAAAATTTTCTGCAAAATTGTAAGAAATTTTTTTAATAATATTTATATGTATATTAAAGATTAAAATTTTATATATAAACTTGTATTTATAAAAATACGTTTTCACTCTTATCTTAAAGACCTTTGAGAGACAAGATAATAAAAAGTACAAGCAATAGGGAATATGAGAGATAATGAAAGCAAGTGTCGAACAGCAAATCTTACACCAAACAATAGAGTAAGTGAAATGCATTTGCTGATGGAATCAACTTTCTTATCGCAAGTAACTAGAGTTACAAATAAGAAATAAAAAATATTGTTCAATAAAATAAAATATAATAAAGACAAAATTCAACTTTTTAATATTTCTGTAATTCTTTTTTTGTGTAATTACGAGAGTGCACACGGTAACACACTTTCTAAATAATAAAATGCAATTTAAAACTTTTCCACATCAATTAAAAACCATGACATTCGCAGCTAACAATATATATATGAAATCAGAATCTTCATCTTTGGCTTTCGTTCAAGAGGAACTAATTTAAATCATGGTGTCATTTGCGGTACTCATGATGATATTTATGTAAGCTTGTCACATATCGTTGTTGTAAATTGCCGATATATATACGCATTTATCTATATACAATTATCTCTTGCGATGAAAAATGACGCAAAGAACTTTATGTTTTGCAATGACGGAAAGTGAAGGTGATGCCCCTGATTCGATAACATTATCCATTGACTCGGTATATTTTACCTCCATAAACACTCACGTAGGTCGCGTAACGAGTTCAAAGCGGAAGCCCAGCCCTTTTAAAATATTGTGGGCGGAAGTTAGAAATCGGTATAACATATATAAAAAACAAAACTGATCTGAAAAACACTTTCACGTCGGAAAAAAAAAATTTATTTTTCTCTAATTATTATAAAGCTTTTCAAAAAAAAAAAATAATAATGATTGATAATGCGTGTGTATTTTCTATAACATTTCACAATAGGAAAGTGCATATGATGATAGTGTAATTGAGAAAGTTTCTTTTGAATATCGAGCGAAAGCCGAGCGTGCGAATTTGCGGAATCGATTGTCAGACACACAAGGTCATTTATATTAAAGAAGTTGGAAGATGTTAACCGCAAGCTTATTGTTTACGTGTCCTAAAAAATGAAACCTTGACTCATAAAATTGCCAATATGAAATTGTATAAAGGAAAATTAGTTATTATATAAAATTGCCTTTCAAAGAATCTAGTTCATTCAATAATACTTTAATAAAACTTTTGATTTATCAATGATAAAGAACACTATAACAACTTCAATTAGAGTTAAGTAGCTTTTCCATATCGGTTGTTATAGGATTTAGAAAACCAATCAATAAACCATAACCATTTTTTCAATTCACCAATATTCATAGTTATTCTAAACATATATTTATCTAATGAAGAGAAAAAAGAATTTTCTTCAATTTAAAATCTAATACAATTAGTAAATTTTAAAATTGAATCACTTTTACTATATCAATTGAGATTTAGAGAGTGTATGAGAATATATTTTCTCAATTTTTATAAACAATGAGAGGATAACCTTTAAAGCATAAAATTCTGTTAAAAACAGGTATATTATTATTATATACAATATATTACAAGGAGGTTGAAAATTGAAAATTGAAAAAAAATGGAAGAAACAAATTTTGAAATAATTGCTGCATAAATAGATTTATTCTGCAACCTATGACCCGAAAATATTCGTGACAGGTACACACCTCACAAAACAATGCCTACTTTGATCAAGTCATTCAGAATCTGTTTTTAGAAAGGCAATGAATGCTATGCTGACATTAAGCGATTTTTTTTTCACGCCGTCAACAACCCACGCAGTTCGCATGCGTTTCATTTCTCTCTCTCTCTTTCTCTCATACAGAATTTTCAACTGCATTCAATTACTTTATGGTTATATTGGAATAACTCTTTATAACAAAAAAAAAAAAAAAAAAACATTTTATAACAAACAAAATCTCTATAATAAAAACTACACTGAAAAAAAAATTTATTTGAGTCAAATAATCGGTTACTTGACTATTATCAAATAAATATTTTTTTGTATCAAATTTAATTATTATTTGAGTCAATTAAATGGTATTTGTTTCAAATACAGAAATTATTGGTTCAAATACAATTTATTTCATTCAAATAAAAATTATTTGGTTCAAGTAAATATTTATTTGATAATAGTCAAATACACAGAAAATTATAAGGTATTAAAATAAGCTGCAACGCTTATTATTTTAATCCAATTTTGCTTATTTTAATAACAAAATGGATTAAAATAAGCAAAATTTGATTAAGATAATAAGCATTGCAGCTTATTTTAATGCCTTTTAATTTTCTGTGTAATTGAGTTTTTGAATCAAATAAATTTTTTTTCAGTGCACTCAGAAAAAAGATGTTTGAACCAAATGTACCATTTTTTTATATTTACCCAATTTTTTGGTTAGTTCAAACAAAATTTATTTAATTCAAATAAATATTTATTTGATCTAAATAACTATTTGGTTTATTTTAATAAATTTTTTGAACAAAGAAAAAATTTGATTGAGCTAAATAAACGTTTGGTTTATGCAACCAAATGTTTGGTTAATTGTATATCAATGCATTTATTTTGTTGATTTAATCAAAATTTGGTTGCTTCAAACGAATTTTTTTCTGAGTGTGTATTAACGAAATGTTTTGAAATAACAAAAGTATTTTATAATACCACTACTTACGAATTTTAAATTTATATTTACTTTTCAATTTTATATTACTTGGTTAATAAATTATAATTTTCTACTCATTTAACTCATTCAACGAATAATTTATTTTATTCAAATAATCGATTACTTGATTTATCAAATAAATATTTACCCAAATAATTGAACTGTATTTGAACTAATAATTTCCGTAACCATTTCAAATAATAATTATTAAACACAACCCGTGTAGAAATTTCCCTACCAGGGCCCTAGTAGGGAATCATAATCTGGTCCAAATCAGGGCCACGAGAAAATGTGGATTTCCTAATCAGGGCCACATCAGGCCCCGATAATATTAATTATTATAATATAATAATATAATATTAATATATTTAATATAATAATATTAATATTAATATTAATATTAATTAAATATATTAATTGATAATAGTTGATTATTTGAATCAAATAAATTTTTTTCAGTAATAAAATCGAGATGTTTATAATAATTAATACAATATTGATTAATAAATAAAAAAAATATTGAGAATCTTTTTATTAGATAATAGTATATAATTTTGTAACCATATTATATTTATTAAATAAAAATTGAAAACTTTATTTTTTTTCCATATAGGGTAATGCAGAAAAATATAAGGAACATAAAAGCTGAACTCTTTTAAATTATGTAATTGGATTGATGACCTAGAACTTGTGTATATATTCATATATATATAATTGAATTAATAATGAATACAATTACGACAAATTAAAAGGCGCGGAAGTCATAAGGAAGAAATAAGTAGAGCCAACACACAACAAGGAAACATAATGTAAAAGGATAGTATCACGATAATGATAAACATTATTATGATTGTATATACGAAGAATATAATAGTGTATATACTGTCTATGAATTTTCTAAGCGTCGAGAGAGGAGAGATTGTATTTAGACTAGAGTGAGTTAGTTCACGCCTCGATTCAAGCTGATCCTATTATAACCAACAATATATATATACACATTTGTTTGCAATCTTTATTATATTTCAATGGTATTACTAAAAGAGAGATTTATATGTAATTAGTTAAAGAAACTAATATCGTAAGATTCATTTAAATTTTTATTTAAAATCTAATTTAACCGAATTTTAATTTGGGTATAAAAAGGAATTTTGTAAAATAAAAATTCTGCCAAAAATTATCTAAAAATTCTGTAAATTAAAAATTCGTTTTTTAAAATGATTTTTGTCAAATAATTTATTGAAAAGTCCAACAGAATCTTTAAAATTTTATACGCCGCGATATTTGTACACTGAGAAAAATCTGCTATTGAATCAACAGCATTTCTGCCAAAGGTATAAAAATTATTGATTCTAAAGCATATGCTATAGAATTTGTATATAATATTTTACAAATTCTATAGCATATGCTTCAGAATAAATAATTTTTATACCTTTGGCAGAAATGCTGTTGATTCAATAGCAGATTTTTCTCAGTGTATAAAATAATGGAAATTTTCTAATTATTGACTGAAAATCTGGTGTAAAATTTTACTGAAACTATAAACGCCTTCTATAATAAAATGCGTTGCGAGTCACAAAAGCCGAACTATCACGTTTCGATGAACTCATCAATTCAGTGTTACGTTATCATATTTAAAAAAAAAAAACTAGGGCACCAAGTGCTTCTGAAATAAATCTGATTCTGACTTATTTCATTATTGCATATTTTTTAAACTAATAGAAAAATATATGCACGGAAAAAAAAGAGGAAAAATAATTTTTACCACTTTCAGAGTAAAACGGAAACTGTCCGAAGTTTCTGCGCGCATCTCTGTCAACTTTTACTCCAAAAATAGTAAAATTAATTATTTCTATAGTAAATTTTACTGTTTAATAATTTTTACTATTTCTGGAGTAAATTTTACTAATTTTGGAGTATTTATGCCAGAAATACGCAGAAACTTCGGACAGTACTTTTCCTTTTTTTTATTTCTTCTTTTTCGAAAAAGCGTAAAATATTCATAATTATAAATTTAAAAAAAAGAATGCAATTAGTCGCATGTAATCTAAACTCAATTGGTTCTAGTGTCGGCGGGTCTGATAGACAGGCGTAAAAAGTGTCTCATAGTTGAGTTCGTTGATCCAGAGAGAAGCTTAGGAGGATAAAACCGGATCCCAAAAGGGTTGAGCCGACTCCATGCCATGTATGTAATAACGTTTCCCTTATATGTAACACGTTGCTCTTCTCGTGTTTGCTACTTGTGGCATTAGACTGAGAGAGGTCATGTGTTGGAAACATTTAGATCTTTTGATTTCGTTACCGAGTATATACCAGTTCATGATTAATTTTCAAGCACATTGTCTCTTATCCTCATATCAAATAGTCTTTTATTTCTTTTCTTTTTTTTGCACAAGAAATTCATTAACGATTCTTCTATATCTAAATTAGTATATCAAAGAACCTAATTAGAATCTAAAATATTTTTATTTCCCTTGCTATTTAATTTGCATAAATATTTTATTTTAATTAGAAATTAATTGTAACAATTTTTTTTTTAATAGATCGAATCATATAGAACGATAAAAAACGAAACCTATGTATATAAATAAATAAAAGATTCCGGTGGGGTTAAAGATAGATTGTTTGACCTCATTTGCTAAAGTATCGCGCATTTTGTAACTGAGCAGGGTGCTTTATTGTATGTTGTTTTTTTTTTATGTTATTGGACAGGAAAGGGAATTTTGCAGTCAAATGGCAAAGTGTGAAGGGTCGTTAACAACGTGGGCGAATTGCAATCAAAAAGTACACGATACAGTCTACCATATGAGGGGACAAAGACCTCGGACATCCTGTGTACGAAATGCATACATTTTGAGTCTCCTCTCTTTCTCTCTCATCATGAAGAGACACATGCACTTTGATTTATTTCACACGCCTTGTGTCTCCAATCAGTTAAGCAAAGTTGATTTCGAAACATTTCACTAAAACTTATGTAACAGTTTGGTATTTTTAAACATTTTTTTTTTTTTTCTTTAATAAATTCTTAATTTTCGAATTTTTATTTATTGCAAAAAATTTTTGAAACAATTTCAAAGAAGCATCTTCTTAAATAGATTATCACTGAGAATATTCTTCTATTTATTCTTAACTACATTCGACTTTTATCTTTTCCCCCTTTTTTATGTTCACTTCTCTCTTTCTCTCATCTTTTTAAATTACCTATATCAAAAATTACAGGGAATCTATTTCTATTTCTCAGAAGGCTTTGATTATTTTAAGAAGTGGAATTTCTACATTTTACCTTATCTTCCATAAAGTGATTCACGAATAATCCATACTTAAGACAGGTGCGTCAAAGTCATACGTTTTTTTTTTTAAATTGATCGCATCATTTTAGTATTTACAACATATAAATTTTATTGAAGAATGCTTTTATAAAAAAAAAATTATCAAATACCACCGATAATTTTTTTTTTCCTTTTTAAAATAAAATTGAAAATTATTTTTAGAAATTAAAATAGTTCCCCCACCCCCCCTTGTAATTGAAACAAGAGTTGATTATAAAAAAATACAGATGATTTGAATTTTTAGAGGACTTTATATATATATATAGTTTCTAAGAAAGATTATATACACATTTTCAAAGTCTGGATCTTTTTGCATGCGATCAACGACAGTGGGCCTATTCAAGTTCTATATTTGCCTGACACACCGTAAATGCAAACCCATGGCATACTTGAAAACAAAACAGACATCTCGTATTTCAGCAATCGTTGCATATTTTCTTTTCAGAATCGTATATATATATTCTTCGGTCGATAACAGGTATACAAGTTACGAAAAAAAAATTTATTTTACATTCATCAAAAAAAAAAGAAAAAAAAAATTCTATTTTTACGATGTACAGTGGAACCTCGATTATCCGAACTAATCTAAGCAAGGCCGGGTTCGGATAATAGAGATTTTAATTTTTTTTTATAATTAAAGTAAAAAAATGTACAGTTGAACTATATATTTAACTTAATACATATGTTTTTAAATATACATAAGTATATAAATATATGTAAATATATATTAATTAATAATATGTATATTAAAAACTCAGAAAATTCGGAAATTTTAAAGATTTTTTTGGCATTAATTTGCCAAAATGTCCCGCGAAAATATGAATGATAAAATAAATAGAGAAAATAAAATTTAAAATTCGGGAGACCAAATAATAGTTCGGATAATAGAAGTTCGGATAAAATGTTTTTCGGTTCGGATAATAGAGGTTCCACTGTATTTTCAAAATTACATAAACTGAAAATAAATTGGTATAACTTTCCAAAATTTTATTGACACTTAACGATTTAGTAAAATTCGGTTAAATAAAATTTCCCGGTATAATAAAAATCAAATTCCACCTCATAAAATTATCAAATTATCGAAAATTCGAATAAGACTAATAAAACCACTTTATTAAAAGAATTAGAAATAATTTTACCGGATGGAAAAATAAAAAAAAAAATGAAGACAAGAGAATTTAGTGAAAGAAGTCGGATTCACTTGTTTTTATTATTTTTTTTCAGTCATTTAAACATTCCCTGGTGAGGGTTCGCCGGGCAATGACATTCTCAGTTGGAACGTGTACATATACGTCGACGGGAAATCAAGTTCAATGCTGCATGATACTTGAAATAAGAATTAAAGTTCTGCACGTTTTCGTGCAACGCTGTTGGCGATTATAGTTCGCCCACTACCATGTACTGCATTTTTTTTTTTTTTTTTATATTATTTTTTTTCAAGATTTTCAATAGATTGATAAATAATTTTTATCGAAGATTTCTTTGTTCTCTATTTAAAAAAAGGGAAATTAATTCTGACATTCGAAAATTAATGAAGTAATTAAAACTGAAAAAAAATTAACTTCATCAATTTATATTGATTGAAGACATTATTAAAATTGAAGGGAAAATTGATTAATTAGAAACTAATAACTATAGGTACACAGAAAAAACTTGGACTCATTTTTGTTGCAACTCATTTTCTTTTGGGTATCGAAATGAGTATGGGACAAACTTCATGTTATTCAAAATGATATTGGCTGGAATTTCAGATTTCTAAGTTGGCATCATAAGCAGAGTAATTTTGTATTTCAATTATTGTTTCTAATATTTCAACAACACCAGAAAGATTATTTTGACCAGTACGAATATTTAGAAGTTTTTAAATAAAAATTATTTATTATTATTTATGTAGATAATAATTAATTTCATAAGTTTTTAAATTTACCGCTATTATTTAAGTTGGCAGTACCGTTCCTGTTGTCAAAACACATGTTTTCATTTTTCTAACCTAAAAACATATTTCCTTTATTATTTTATTACGCGATTACAAGCAATTTTTAATCAAATATATTAAGTCTAGCGTGTTATTTACTTCTTTGTAATTATTATATTTCATGTTTTTGTGCAAAATTATTCGTTATTTCACAATATTTTTCCATTTTTCTTTTTCTCAAAATGAAACTTGCCTGTTTCATTTTGATACTTTTACCTTAGAACTCGAAATGAGACAACCAGTTTCATTTTTGTTGCGAATCAAATTGAGTATAGAATCTATACTCAATTTGAATTCAGGTTTTTTCTGTGTAATGAATGAAATAAAATAAAAAAAAAACCAAATTGGTTTAAGATGAACTATCCATTAAATAATTAACTATTTTTTTTTCTCCACAACTTTCTTTTCGTATGTAAATAATTCTCAAGAGGAATTGTGAAGTATATAGATATAATTTTATATTTTACGGGAGTAGCCAGTTGAACTCGTTATATATGTGTCCCGCGATAAAACGAATCTGGTGTTTTAAAGTGGGCCGGGGAGTTGTTGTCAGTCCCCTCGTTCAATTCTGATATGTATTTTCATGTGATGTACAGGATAAACGAGTTGTTCACCTCTCTCTATTTGTTCAAATTTTATATATACGATTTTATTGACACGGTAATCCAATACAAATGTGTGGGCATATATGTCAAATGATCTCTTAATACTCAAGACTTGTTTAAAATAAAAATAAAAAAAAAAAAAGAAATGTTTATTCACCTAAAAAGCTATTTTTTATTACGATTTTATATCCTCTTTTTAATGCAACAATTAAATTATAAATGTTCATTATAATTTTAAAATAAAAAATATATTCACATTTTTTTCTATATTAAACTTTTAAGAGAAAAATTTCTTAAATAAAATTTCTTAAATTTAAGATTAAGATCTATTTAGCTAAGAATCTAATGAACAGAGAACAAGAATAAAAGAAAATATAAGTATTCTCATCCGGTATAGCTCTAATTCTTTGTTGTAATTCAAAAATAATTTTATATAGAAAGTATAAGAAATTAAAATTTTCCCCATTTATCAGAATAATAATTATTTACAATAAAGATTTTCTATATAAATAATTGAAATTTTTTTTTTTTTCAAACGATAACCTTTGAAACAAGTGGAAGAATGTTAATTTATCTACTAATATTGCCAATAAGATTTCCCAAAGGTATATACAATTTTTTCAAAAATATTAATTGTTGGGGTGTGGGAAGTGATTATGAGGATAATATTGAGATAAAGGGAAACTAGACAAAAGATCAAATGTCACTTTCACATTGATGTTTGTTCCTGTTTGAACCACAAAATGAATCTTGAGATCTAGTGTTTTCTCTTCATGAAATATGATCACATTAGTAAACGAAACAACAACAAATTTAGTTACATACATCAAAGACAATAACAGCATTTTCCTAATTGATTAAAATCAAAAACAATTCACTTGTCTTTAAGATTTTTAAAAAAAATTCAACATCCACAGGACAAGACGAAAGTAACTTTCGAAATATTTCAAATTAAATAATTTTTCCATTAAGATTATATTAAAACAACTTTTAAAGATACTGAACCTAAACATATCAATAAAATAAATATTTGCCTGTCCCCTTTTTTTCATATATGAGAAAAAAATGTTTACAAATTAAATAATAAACTTCTTTGTCACTTTTTTTCCTATCAAGGAAAAAATATAAAGCCTATCATAAGAATTTTTTTAGAATATCACGGATCGATTTTGTTGGAGAATTGTAACCTTAAATCTAGATATTTTATGACTGACACAAGTGATAAGATATCATGTCCAGACGATTAATATTATTCTTTAACTGTTAAAAAATATGTTTCACTGTTAATAAATCATATCAAACCCTCTTTGGCAGATATACTTTAAATTCATTAAATCAATATTCAAATCAATAAGTTTATTTTTTTCAAAGTTTTCATTCAACTTCATTACTATTTGAATTGGAAAGTTTTAATTCAATCGTCAAAGGCAATGTAAACTTTTTTTTTAACGATTGAAAATTATTTTTTTAATAACTAATAAGTATATAAGTGGAAGAATAATACTAAAAAAAAATGTAAAAATTGATCGTGTAAACATAACCTTAAAATATGAAAATCGAAATAAGTTGTAAATAATGTTGATTATGTACTTACCAAAGAAATCTTCCCAAGTAAAAGATCCATCAGAATCCACAGAACTGGTCGCAGCTTCAGGACCTGCTTCCATTTGTGAGAAAATAATAGCGAAATTTGTTCCTTGAAAATTATTCCTCTTGACACATTATAAGGGATGAAAGGCACACAACACTCATCGTGTTATTAATTTGTTTGTCAATAAATCACGAACATTGAAATTTTTTTAAAGGGAAAAGTTGTTGGAACATCCCACTGACCTACACGACTGACTTCGACCAACTTCGACTGTGTCTGTCTGGAAACTGAAGAGGGAACGTTGTTCCCAACGTTGGTAACCTGTCTTTTTAACAACATATTTCACTTTACACAAATCGCTGCTAATTTATTAATTTTCTATTCTTTTATTGTTAACACTATTATCACTTATTTAAACTTTTTCATTTATTGCAATTATTTATTTACAGGCGTGCGTCTAATAACCGCAAAAACAATGAACAATGGCGGGAACTAGTGGAATAAAGAAATGTTTCAGTCACGTGACACACAACGGTTATTTAAAAAAAGCGCGCCATTTTCTTAAATATTTGAATTTAATAATAATTTAAAATCTTTTCTTATATTGTAATAATGTTATATTTATTTAACAATTAGTAAATAAAATAATAAAATCCGTCTAGCATAAAACAATAATAATAATAATAAATTAATAAAAAATCAATTCTGTATTTAATATTCAATAAATCATTTTTATATTAATAAATAAATTTATTTCAATAAAGTTAAATAAATAAAAACACAATTTTCCAGTATATTTTATTTTATTTATATTCCCTACCGTCGAATACTTATATCTACAATAAACAATACTATACAAAAGAATGTCATTACGAAAATTAAGTTATCGATTGAAACGTAATGATTAATAATTTGTTCTTGATTGACACTGTACGCTAATGTTAATAAATGGATAATTATGCGTTTGTACGTTGCACAACATCATTTTTAGTCTTACCAGGCGCAGGTACGCGTAAAAAATAATACAATTTTTTAATAATTAAATTATCACAAAATTTGTCTCACCAAAGCTGAAATTCATTAATTAATTCGCTCGATTATTCTTAAAAATCTACTGGAATTATTTATAAGAAATTGGAGAATTGCACTCGTTATTAAAAATTGTTATATAAAATATAAATGATTATATTCTACTAATATAAAAAAGAAGCGAAATGAAAAAATGAATTTCTTCTCTGTATTGACGACTTATAATAAAAATGAGTTAACTCACTTTATAATATTATTTACAATTTATCGATGATATTTAGATAATATATGTAATTAAAATGTCTGATATATTTATTTTAGTTTCACAAAATTAGGCATTATTATTACCTTCACAAAAAAAAAAAAAATGTTAAAGCAGACTAAAGAAAAAGTTTATTACTGATATTGGTCCTTTAAATTCATTGAAAAAAAAAAAAATTACTAATCTCTTTTCGAGATTCACATTAATTAAATATAAATTAATCAAAATAAACAAAATTTGCTTGATGAATTTCAAAATATACCATAATTAAAGTCAGTTAATTAAAAATGACCTATTTCTACAAAGCAGAGGAAAAGAAATATTATCATAGTTATGATAAGTCTCGTGAAAACAAATTCCTGAAATGCCTTTTCCTTTTTAATCAAATTTGTAATGTTTGTTTAACGGAGATTATCTGATTGTGAAATGATTACAAAAAGAAGCCTGTGAAATTGTAAGCAATAATTTTCATTTTTTTTTTTTTTTTTTTTGTTCATAAAAGAAGAAAATATAATTTTTATATTTAATTTATTATTCACTTGTTTTAAATCACTCAAATTTTCACTGTATGCACTTTTAATCATAAAAAATTATTTCTTGTAATATTTTTTTTTTTTTAAACAGAAGAAATAGAAAATTACTTGTTTCTATAAATAATGTGATGAAAAAGAAAAGCTATTTCGTCATTTGCCTTTAAGCGCAAATATATTTATTTTATGAAAAACGTCGATTACGAAGCAGTCTTTTTAAAATTGGCGAGATGCTTGTGTCTCAGGCTTCGCTTATTTTGCAAAGGAGAAAAATTCTTATCCTTTGTTTTGAGGAACATCAAATTCATCTATCCTAGAGCTAAATTTTTACTAATAAAGTATAATACTCCATAGAAAATTCCTTTCTTTATCAGAAAATCTTGAAATAGTGGAACACGAAGCAGATTTAAGAAGACGCCTTTCTTTTTCTTGAATTTATTTTTTCCGTCGATTTATTCTCGAGTCCTGTGAATTGATTATTAAAATTAAATAAAATGTTTAAATTAATAAAATATTATAAAAAAATCTAAAAATAGAAAATTATTTCTAAAAATAAAATTACGTCTTAATTTTGCAGATTCAGATCTTGTGAGTCTTCTAGAATTATTTAAATTAGAAACTTTTGCTTGAGATGCCAATTCCAAATTTCTTTTTATCAGTTGAGCAATTTCTTCCATGGCTGGTGTCATCCATTTTGGTTTTAGTTCATTGCTGAAAAAAATATAAATTAATTATTTATAAAAAAAAAGGAGGCATGAATTAATTATTTATAAAAAAAGTAACATATTTTACTTACTCTGATGATTTTGATGACGTTTTATGTCTAATAATTCCGGATTGTTTTTCTTTCATTCTCTGCAATACGTTTAGCATTGCATAGGTTGGCAAAGACGAAGTTGGAGTGATGGGTGGAGGCGATGGGGGTGGCGTAAGAGAAAAAGGTGGGGGAAAAACACTAATTTTGGCTAGCTTGTCAGGATGTCGAGAAAGAACTTCCTCCCAACTAAATTCAATTACTTTCTTCGGAACTATCGGCTGAGTATTTCTTGTTATCCGAATCTAAAAATAAATATGTTAAAATATCTTCATTTTTAATATAATTTAAAAAAAAAAAATTAAATTAAAATAAACTTTAGAACCGGTTTTTAATTGATAATAGTTTCAGTTTACATTTTAACAATTCCGCAATATTAAATAACATCTGAACGTGAAACTAAAATCATAAACCGTGAAATTCTTTACATTAAAATCTAATATGATATAAAATATGTAAAGAATCTTTTTCTAAACAATATAATATTTAAAAAAAAAACAACAACAAACCTCTCCATTTACGGGTCTACAAGGTTTTCTCTCCCTAAGATAAGGGAGACTGTCAAATTTACAGCGGGAAAAATTCTCATTAGTAATACCTTTGTTTACTAATGTTAAAATATTTTCCTCAAACATTGATCCTTGACAAAAAAGATTACGCAAATATGTATAATTTGGTTTAGTTTCAAATCCCAAACGAGAAATATATGTGAAATACTCTATAAGATTTTCTGAAAAGGAAGTAAATATAAATTACAATCAAAAACACCTGTCCCTTTGATTATATTTTAATTAAATATTGTTATTATTATTCACCTGGTGCTTTTCTTTTCCCCGAAAAACATTTCTGTATAGATAAGGAAACATCTGAAAGCATTTTTTCTTTTTGTGCTTGAATTTCTTCTGGATTAACAGTTGACAAATGCAATTCATTTTCTTTTTCCCAAGGTAATTTTCCACACAGCCATTGCAATAAATTGTATCCCAATGTTTCTAAATCGCCTCGTCTCGAGTGAGCTAATTTTCAAAAATAATTTACAAAATTAAATTTAATAAAAAAAGCGTGTTGTAAAATAAAAAATACATACTTCCGTGATGAGCATCTCTAGATGTAAATTCTAAAGTTCCTTCATGAGCTCGTCTCTCATCATGAACAAATGGTTTATGAACACCATTTCCCGAACGAAAACGATAAGCTAATCCATAATCAACTAAAAATGCTTGTGCTTTTTCTACTTCCGATCCCAGTCCATTAGTTGTGAGCAAAATATTTGAACCCTTAACGTCCGCGTGTGCATATCCCTGACTGTGTATATACTCGAGTGCATCCAACTATAATTACAATTAAAAAAAAAAAATTATATTTAATAAGAATTTCTTTATAAAAAAATGTATGATAAATACCATTTGCACTGCAAGACCATTGACCAGTTTTGTTGATAATTTTCTCCCATAAGAAACAAATAATTTTCCTACATCAATACCATAACGTGGTATCACCAGAAATCTATATCTTTGATTCTGATATATGTGTGAACCTGAACCTTCGTAAGTCGGAACTCCTATGCGTCTTCTTCCGTAAGATTTACACCAACTTTGAACTGAAAAATAATGGACGCTTATTAAATAATTAATTCAATATAAATAATAAATTATTATTTTTATAAACTTACTCATTGGTTTTCGAGCTGCTCTTATATAGAAATTCATTTCGACAAATAATGGTCCATTATTGTGTGGTTCTATTTTAACAACATATTTTGAATTGTGTTCTACTGGCTTTGTAATATCATCAGAAGCTGAAAAATATATAATTTAAAAAATATAAATATTTATACAGTAATTTAAAAGATTTTATTTTAAATAAAATAAGTAAACGAAATATTCTCCAATACCCAGATAAATGTCACCGAAACCTCCACAACCAATTGGATCTCCAATTCTCCATTTATTTTCAGTAATATCAGTCAATATTTCACCTCTTGGTAAACGCGATGATAAACGGCAACCAAACGCTGCAATACGTTTGACAGGAATTTCTTCTAATCGACGAGGTGCCATTATTTTGTTGGTTAATCATTCACCCTAAATAAATTTTAAGATTAATTATTATTTATCATAATTGACAAAAACCTAAAAAATTAAAATTAATAATAATATATTTTTAATTAAAAATCAATGAAAACAAGCATCAATTGTCATTGTTTTTCTTTAGTCAATGTTTAATAGTTTATACAATCAAATATAAATTATTCAGATTTCATTAAAGGCATTGAATGTTTGTACAATTAAAAGAATAAGAAAATAAGTAAACAAAAGGAAAAAAAAATACAAGGTTATTTTTCACTTTACTTTCGACTAAGTAGTACTTGAAAATATTTATTGTACACATGAATAATTTAATAAATCTCAGTTGTCTCAATTAAATTGTCCGAATTCTGAATGTAACAACGCTTGCAAGGATTCTTTAATTTTTTTAAGACTAGAATGACATAATGGCTACTCCAAAATGGAGCGAGAAACGTCAAGTTTCTCTCCTTTCTGACCTTCTTTGCTTCATGAAATCACAAAAATATAAAATCACTTTAATTTCAAAATAAAATCATTTTTTTTTTAATTTCACAACAAAAATTTTAAAATGCGAACAATAAAATCGGCTTTTTACTATAATTTATAGAAGGGTTAATTAACTTTTTAAATATAGTTTAAAAGTGCAAGTACGATTTTTTATAAAAATATTCAGAAATCTAAGTTTTCTTTAATATCATTGAAAAATGTTTACAATATCACTTTTTTTGACAGTTTATCTGACAGGCCAATAAAAAAGTCAAAACATTGTCAACTATATGTTTTCAAACATCCAAAAATCAAGGGCTATGTGCGGCAATAAATCAGCGTTAGAATGATGATAAATCGTTATTAGAAAAAACATACCTTTGTAAATGTAATCAATCAACATTCATTAATGGAAAACACACTTTTTGAACACTACACACGCGATAAATCATAATATTTAAGTAGATATTTGATCACATTTTGCAAATCAGCTTCATTCTGCCATTTTATGAAAGGTAAGATTTAGTAGGTGTTCTTAAAACTCACATATGATCACTGATCAGGGTTGAGAAACATTAAAGCCGGTGTTTTAAAAAAGAACGTAAATAAATAAAATCATTCTTAATTTATTTTACTTGTCTTTTCAATATATATTTTTTCTAATATATATTTTAAAAACTGATAAAACATTGAATTTTAAAAGAATTATTAGAAATTGTTTTACTTTAATGACAATAAGCTAACTTCAGAGCAACTCCGTACAATACATTCCCAACCTTGCAATAACGGTTGACAATCAGCTGTTCAATAAGATTTATAAAGTTTTCTCCGTATGTACAATAATAAATACAAAAACAACACTAATGTTTAAGAAAATTTGAAGCACATATAAATTTAAATTACTAAATAGGCTTTTATACTTTTATATACATAATTGAAAATTGATTCAATAATTAAGATTCGATTTGAAGTTTTTGGAACGCACCCGCTACATATTAATCTTGTGCGCATGCGTCAGTGCCTAGTAACATTCTGGTAAGTTTCTAAACCATGAACATGTCCTAACCTCAAATAATTTTTGACCGACGTGTTATTTTCATATAATATTTGAGAAATGTTTTGTTTTCTTTTATAAAAAAATATAATCTATTTAATTAGAAACTTTAATAAGTTATCTTTAAAAAGGTAGTTTGTATTATTTCATAACATAAAGCAAAACTATATATCTTAATGAAATACTACGGCTTATAAAAGAATCAAAAAGTAATTAATTCATTTAATTCCATATAATAAAAGGTGTACACTAAAAAATATTAATAACAAATTATTGTTTTCTATATATTTTAGATTATTACTATTTACAATCTGAATGAAGTACAAATGATAAATTTGTCAAATAGCCAGTTATAAAACGCAATTTCATTAATGGCAGATTTATTTGATATTGCCAATTTAATAACAACAGTCGGCGTTGATGCTGTAAAAATCAAACCTGAACCTGGTTTACCAGAAAAATCATCAAATGAAATTTTAACTGAACTTTTTAGCACTTTCGATGTTGATGAAGGAATAGTTTCTCCTCAAAATGATTCTGATACAAACACCAAAGGGGACAAATCAGAGAAGAAAAAGAAGAAAAAAAAGCATAAGCACAAAGACAAGAAGCATAAGAAAAAATCTAAACGTAACTCGTCTGATAGTAGCGATTCTGAAGGTGTTGGTTAGTAAATTTTTTTTTTTTTTATATAAAAATATGAAATTATTATAAGTTTAAAACTTAATTGTTAATTTCAATTAATAGGAACGAAAAAAAAGAAAAAACATAAAAAGAAATCAAAACGAAAGCTTGAAGATGGCTATAAATCATCAGATTCTGGAAGTACAAAATGTAAATTACGAAAATTAAATGACGAATTAATAGCAACAATTAATCCAAAAACTATAGAAGATGAATTTAATATTTTGGGAAGAGAAGATAGTAAATACAATGATGTTGTTGTTAAGAAAGAACCAAATGAGAAAGATGAGACAATTTCGAAAAATAAGAAGATTAATGAATTTAGTCCATTATTGCCACCGGTATCTCAAAAAATTGATGATACTGAAGAGCCTGTTCCTCTACTTCTTGGTAAATAATAATTATTTCTAACATTCAATCTTACTTTATATTTTAAATATTCAAAATTTCTTTCAGAAAAAGCAAAAACTTCGTCCCATGGTAAAATTTTAATAAAGGATTTAAAAAATAGTGTCGTTTATAATGAAACCGTGAAAGAAATTGAAAACAAAGAAAAAGAAAAAGCTGCAAGAATGGAAGATGGTGAAATTTCTGATAGCAGCGATGATGATGACGATAGAACACCAACTCTAAGTCCATCTCCAACTCCAGATTTTAAATCTAAATCACCAATATTAAATAATTCATTAGAAAAATCAAAAGAAAAAAGTAAAAGTCCAACATCACGAAAGAAAATAAAAAATGATCTTCGTTTGATTTTGAAAGAAAAAGAACGAAAACGAAAAGAAAGAAAAACTAAGGATGATAAGGATGGTAAATCACATAGAAATTATAAAGATTCGAAAAAGGACAACAATAAACAAAGAACTAATAGTCAAGGTAAAGACAAAAAAAGATCTACATCACAGCAACGTTCACATCGAAGTAGAAGTAGAGATAAAGATAAACATCGAGGAAGAAGTCGAGAACGAAGAGAAAGAAGATGGAGTCACGATAGATGGGAAGGTGACAGGAGTCGAGATAGAAGACATTACAGTAGACACAGAAGTAGAAGTAGAGAAAGAAAGTAAGTTACTTTTTTAAATAATTCACAAATCTAAATGCTAATAAATATTTTAAATAATAGTTCATAATTAAAATAATATTTTTTTTTCCAGAGAAAGAATTGAGATTGACAAAAAGAAATTGTTGGAAATTGCGAGAAAAAATGCCATAGGCATGATTAAACGAGGTGCTCTACCTTTAGCGCAAAGAGATAAAGCTATTGCTGCCATTCAAGCTGGAGGAAAGACTGTTGAAGAACTTACAGGTGAAATTTTAAATCTGCTTTCAATTATTAAATAATTAGATGCCTTTTATAAAATTTAATGAAAAATTATAATTTTTTTTTAGATTTCTGCAAATCTTTATCAAAATCCGAAGCCTTAGGAGAATTATCTAGTATTTCATCAGACGATGGTAGTGAATCTGAAAAAGGTTTCCATCATCCATTCCTCTTGAAGGAAAGACCTAATTCTATTATAATGAATATTAGGGTAATTTTTATTTTTTAAATCTTAAATTAAAAAATTTTCGTTTTTCAAAAATTACAGAAATATTTTTATTTCTCATAGGATGCTAAACAACTGCCAACAAAAACATTCCAAGAAAAAACAGCAGAATCATCAAATCAATTGCGATTACAATTTCCAGTTTCAAGTGGTCAGCTTCATAGAAAAACTGGTGAGTTATTGTCAATTAAAATTTTTAATTCTTAAATTAATGAATCCAAAGAATAAACAAATTTTTTCCTCTAAAGAAATTGATAATAAAAAATGAAAAAAAAAAAATATTTATTACTTACATTTATTTTCAGAAAGTGAATGGGTGCCGGTGCCACCTAAAAAAGTAGAACCCCAGAAAAAATTTGTTCCTGCAAGTGAACCACTTTGTTCTCTACCGAAACCGGTTCCGGTTCCTGCTCCAGTTCCACCGCCAGCTCCTGTTGCAGCATCTGTTCCTACATCCGTTCCTACTACAGTATCACAACCTTCAGTTTTTCCTCAAAATATGTCTGCCGAGGTTAGTAATCAATTTTCTTATTTATTACTAATATCTATAAATATTTTAATACATTATCAATTTGAAATAATACTTTTTACAGAATATAGACATAGGATCAATTGTTTCACAAAGGCTGGCAGCAATGAGAAAATTAAGAGAGAATCCAAACGATGTTTGTGCTCTAAATGAAATGTATAGAGCACAAAATGAGGTGAATTTTTTTTTTTAAATTACTTTATTTTTCAATAATAGAAAAGAAAAAAATTCTATCTCATGTTACAGTAATGGAAGGAAAATATATTTTATAAATTTTTTTTTTTAGATGAAATCTTGGGCAGAAAGTAAACAGATGCCAGGACATTTTACAGGTAGCACTGGAGTGAAAGTACTGACACCAGCAGAACTAACATCAGGTTATCAAGCATGGGCTCGTAAGGTAATAGTGATTTACTTCCTTATTTATTTTATTTATTTGCAAAATTTAGCACCTCTTGCTTTATATGCCATGGGATTAGGACAAGTGACTGCAAAAAAGAACTTAAAAAAGTTGCTTTTACCTTTCAAAAATTATTTCCATAAATTATAGTGAAAATGGAAAATTTTTTTTTCTGAAATGTAAGTAAATTTAATTTTTAAAAAACATGGATAGAACTTCAATATAACAAAGAAAAAATTCAAAGTGTGTGTAACAAGTTTTCAGGTACAGTTTCAACAAAGGCCATTTTACATTCATCTCAAAAAGAAAACATATAAAGTAAATTTTTAAAAAATCGATTACATTTAAAAATTGAAAATAATTTAATTCAAATTAAAATGCAAAATTATTGACAATTTAAATTTCACATAATAATAAAGATATCTATAATTTATTTAATTTTTGAAATAATTTTAATAAATAGAATGAAATACATTTTTTTAAATCAAATTTTAAAATTTTACATTTAAGAATATTAAATAGTTAAAATTAAAGTACAAACTTTGAGTTTATAAAATAAATACTTTGAATGTTTTATTAGAAAAATTTGGTCTTGAAGAAATTGTGTTGCAGGCAGAGACTATTTCTGTATTAGAGGTAGAATCTGTGCCTGCACGGACGCAAGAGCACCGTTGCATTTCATATTTTTATTATAGAAAATATATTCTATTAACAATTAATCAACTATTAAATTATCAACAAAAAATGTTTAATTTATTCGAAAAAAATAGCCTCAAATTAATACTTCTCGAAAGTAATAAAGAAATTTAATAATAATGAATAGTCAACGGTCTCGTGCGAAATTATTGCTAATCATCATCAGCTTTCTACTACAGAATTTTATATAGAGAAAGATATTTTCTTAATAAATCTGTTAGCTGAAATAATTAGCAATAGTTTGCATCCACCTGAGGATTTGTTACAGGCAAATAGATACATCAGAAAAGATACTTCTGCGGCAGCCTGATTCGTGAATTAAAATTTATCCTTGGTAAGTATTGTAATTTTTAAAATAGAATATTAAAAACAAAATTTAATCTTATCTTTTCACATTTATATTTTATATTTTTTCTTCACTTCTTTTACTAATCTTACTAACAAATAAATATTTACGTATTGTATAAAATATTTACTTTTCTTCCTTCAAACAAATTCTAACTATTTTTAAAAAGTGATTAATTTTAGACTGATGATTAACATATTTTTTTTTTACACTAAAAGGTAAAATATTTTTAGAAGTGCAAAATATTTTAATATTAATTAATTTTTGAAAATTGTTTTTTCAATGAAAAAAAAAAACTGTTGCGATTATTGTGATTGAAATTTTCACTAATTAAAATTTTTCTTTTTTAAATTTACTTAGGACCAATTAACATCGGCATTACCGGTGTCGGGAGGAATGGGAATGGCTCTACTTCAAAAAATGGGTTGGAGACCTGGAGAAGGATTGGGCAAAAATAAAGAAGGTACTCTTGAACCTTTACAACTTGAAGTTAAACTAGATAAAAGGGGTCTGGTTTCTGAACAAGATATTGGAAAAAAAGTTGGAAAAACGATGAAACCTGTGGTACCATTAATCAAAACTTTGGAAGGTATTTAAAATTTTAATTTTTATGAAATAATCTTTTCTTTTATATGAAATAAAATAATATTTATCTATTAGGCAAACATCCAGTTTCTCTTTTGGGCGAATATTGTTCGAAACGAAAATATGGAGTTCCTGTTTATGAGCTTTGCTTTGAATGTGGACCAGATCATAAAAAAAATTTTCTTTTTAAGGTACAAATTCTAATTTTTAAATAAAACTTAATTTTGAAATATGAAATTTTTTACAAAATATATTTCTATTACAGGTTAAAGTGAATGGCATTGAATATAAACCTAGTGTTGCAAGTCCAAATAAAAAGCAAGCCAAAGCAGAAGCGGCCCAAATTTGTTTACAAACAATAGGTCTATTACCTACTGCAAATAAAACTGAATAATTTTCTTTAGATATAAATTTATATATTGTCATTTTTTGTAAATATTAGTTATAAATAATTATTTCTTAAAAATAAAATATAGATTGTAAAAAAATTATATTTTTTCTTTCATTAAATTTTGATTGTATAGGAATAGGAAGATTGAAATTGTAATAAATTGTTTTCGTGAAAAAATAAAAAAGTTTATCTTTGTACTTTCTGATGCAGGCAATAAAAAAACAAATTCTTAACTTACAAAATACTTAAGTAGACATCAAAGCGTTGACGTAGGGATTGTTTTTAGCAATAATTTCTTCTTTGAAACTTGAGATTTTAGATGTCAATTCATCATAAGAAAGCGAATTATCCAGAGCTTTACATTTATTAGTAAAATCGACAATTAATTCTTGACCTTCCTGAATACAGAAAAAAAACAACAAAATAAATTAAAGTAAAAATAATACAACTTTTTAGCCATTTTTAAAAATTAAATTTACCTTTGTAATTTTTCTTCGTTTCACAGGATCGTCAGATCCTTCGAAAACTTTACCTTGAACGTCTTCCAATTCCGCTTGTTTTTGTTTGGCAAACTGAAAAAAAAAATTGAATTAAAATATGTAATTTCATAAAAATGGGGTAAATTAAAATAAAATTCTTTTTATTTCAACCTCAACTACATCAGCAGGAAAATTGGCCATCTTTGCAACGTGAATTCCAAAACTTTGATCACAAATTCCAGGTTTAACTTGATACAATAAAGTAAGTTTATCATCACCAACAAGAGCTGTAACGTGTTTATTTTGTACAGCTGGTACTTCCTCTGCCAATCGAGTTATTTCATGAAAATGTGTTGCAAATAAAGTGTAACTTTTCACTTCTTTCGCCAAATGACTGCAAAATTAAAAAAAAATTCTATTTATGATTTTAAATTTTCAATCAAATCTTTCTGAATTATTATTATTATTTTGAGTATAAATTTAATTATTCTTTGTTAAAAAATAATTTCTTACTCCGCAATCGCCCACGCGATTCCACAACCTTCGTAGGTGGACGTTCCTCTTCCGAGTTCATCGATAATTACTAACGAATTACAAGTTGCAGTCTAAAATTATTAATGATTAATAAAACAATTCGATAAAGTAAAATTTATTAAATATAAAAAGACATTAATAAAATTAATGAACTTACTCTAAGAATTGCTGCTGTTTCTACCATTTCAGCCATAAATGTAGAAAGCCCTTTAATTTGTGAGTCATCAGCTCCAATTCGTGCCAAAATACAATCCAATAAGGAAATTTTAGCCTTATCACAAGGAACAAAACTACCAATATGAGCCATTAATGCAGCAACACCCACAGATCGAATATAAGTACTTTTTCCACCCATATTTGGACCAGTTATAATGTAGAAATGACTTTCATCTGACATTAAAATTTTTTTAAACAAAAGAAAAAAATTATTTTTTTATTTCAGTTTTAAGGAATAAATAAAATAGAAAATAATTATTTACCTCTTTTTAAACAAACGTCGTTGGCAACATAATCGACTCCTTCTTGAATCTCTAATAGTGGATGTCTGACTTGTACCAAATCCAATGTTCCAGCATCACTTGGAAGCATTTCAGGTCGAACAAAACCTTTCGAATGATAAGCAACTGTCGCGAATGATGTGAAAACATCAAGGGAAGCAATTAGATTGCCAATAGATTTAACAGTTTCACTGTAACCCGCTGAAAACAAAAAATTATCATTATTTAAAAATATGGAAGAATGACATAATTTTTTTTTTATAGAACTTCTAAAAAGGTTACCTGCTATTCCAATAATTTCAGTAACAACACTTTTTTGCGCTGTTTCATATTTAACCCGAAGACTCAAATAATCATCGTTTAAATCATTTAATTTAGTGTTTCTAAATTTAACGCCTCCTTTATTTGAGTCAATAATCATGTAATTTTTGTTGTTTCTAAGAATTTTTTCTTCCTTCAATGTTATTCGAAAGTAGTACCCATTCTCTTGATTAGATTCCAATTTAACAGATTTACCAGCATCCAATGATAGATCACTAGCTGCTTTATGCAGTTGACGATTCAATTTTTCCTCTATTTCCTCCATATTGGATTTATGTTCTATAAAAAAACACATTAAATGATTCGTGATAATTTAAAAAAAAATATTAATTATTTAATTTTTAATTTAATTTAATTTTTAATCAATGAAAAATTATACCTTTTAAATCATCATCAAAATCAGCTTTCACCATGAAATCTCCTTTATCCGCTGCATCTAAATCAATCGTTTGCTCCACCATTTGTTGAAATTTGTCTAGATCTTCAAGAAGTTCTTTCAATGGATCTATAATTAAAGCATCCAAAGCTGCAATCTTTGTAGCCTCTGATAATTTTTCAATTATTTTTGGAATGTGATTGCCACATACATAAATTCTGGAAAAACCAATATCACGAGATATTGTGAATTTTATTTACTTCAACGTTAATCATGTAATATATTACAAAAGAATTTTAAAAAAAACATACTTGTAACAATCCTGAAGATTAGCCTTCTTTCTTGCTAATTTTTTAGCCAACGATTGTAAATCAGGAACACGTCGTAAATAATCATCGCTCAGCATTGATCTTAAATCATTGTCATTGAATAAAACATCAACAATATCGTGTCTCTCTTTAATGAGTGATAAATCTCGAAGTGGTTGTCTGACCCACTGAGCAAGAAGCCTGTGACCCTGAGGTGTTCTACATTTGTCTAATAAAGTTAAAATACTCGCCGAAGCATTAGGATTCTGCGAATCTGTTTTTGGTTCAATATTTAATGCCCGAATAGCAGCACTGTCCAATCTAATATAACGAAATTGTTCAACTTCTTTAATTGAAAAATGATTAACATTTCCTTCATCAGATGTTAACTGAAAAAAAAGAAAATCAAAATATTTTCAATAATTTTTTTTTACGACTATTTATTGAAAAAATAATATGAATTACTTACATCTAAGTATTTTATAATAGCGGCCGTTGCTGACATCGCTAAATTTAAATTATATTCAGGAAGACTCTGAACATTTCTTTGCTGGCCTTTTTTAAATCTTAAAAGATTATTTAAATCCTGTATGATAGATTCACTTGAAAATTCATTCTTCTTTCTTAATGTCACCATAACATTGCCTCTTTCTATCACCTTAATAATAAAATAATGATCGAAAATTAATTATTATTATATTAATTAAATAAAAATTTCCAATAAAAATAAAATTTAAAAAACCTGTTTTAAAGTATTGAATTCTTGACTTGCATCTCCTTGAACAAGCAAACATTCTTTTGGTGCAAGTGTAACAAGAAGAGCTTCCAAATTTGTAAAAGAATCATCATCTTTAAATTCACAAACAGAAATCAAAGTTGACACAGTATCGACGCAACTAAGACCTAAAACCTTTAAAATACGAATTTTTTTTTTTTATAAACTAAATTACATTTTTTATTTTATTTTAATATTAAAATTGAAGTAAAATTATTGCTTACTTTTGATCTTCCTTCTGTAGTCATTTTTATAGCAATAACAGAAGAATTAGCGACTATATCATTATTTCCAAAAAGAATTTCTTCAAATTGTATTAAATTTCCTGGTGATCCTTTATATTCAATTATCCAATCTTGATTTTTCGCAGAGCCTTGATTAACATAGACTTCTACTCGATATTGTTTCACGAGCAAAAGTTCTCGAATAAACGATTCAAAATGATTTTTATTTAAAACAACACCTTCTATTTTATTCGGCTCTGTAATAAAAATATAATATAATAACGTTAAATTTAATTCATGATACGAAAAGAAAAAAATATAAATTACCAGCTCCAATCATTTTGCACACAGAGGTAGTTGCAAAAACTTCTTGAGCTGCAAAAAGAGCATCGCTTCCATGAAGAGTGTAATAGTCAGTTCTATTAAAAAATCTTATGGTGCTACTGGATTTCTGAAAAATGAAAATATATTTTCATAAAAAAAAAAAAATGTTTTCTTCTTGATAAAAATAAAAAGATAAAGTAAATTAATAGCGTGAAACGTGTCAATGCTCGGAAAACATTTTAAGATGAAAATTTCCTTGACCTATTTCTATACAGCTTCTCCACTGATTACTGACAATAACAGAATCAAGGTTTTCGTCACTAGCTTCATTTTTTATTAATGATAAATAAATGAAGATAGAAATTAAAAATACACATAATACATTATTAATAAATAGTAGTTCCTAAATATTCTTTTTTTTCCATTAAAATGTGATTTTTTTTTAAAATTCATTGCCATTAATAAGTTAAAGATTTAATTAAAATTAAAACCACAAAAAAGAATAATTAATTATATTGACGTCTAGTAACACAGATTTAATGTACAATATTCTGAAGCATGACACGACGTATCGAAAGTTCACCATGTCATAGGTCATTTCTCATAAATCTTGTACGAATTCGAGGAATGTTATAATTTAAGTGTGTTTTTATCAACAACATAAAAAAAGAGATTATTAAAAATCGTCAAATGTTCTCTTTAAAAAATAATAATGTTGAATTTTACATTTGTTATTTCTTTAATAAAATATAAATTCGAAAAAATATATTTTCTTTAATGCGTTTTGAATAAATTAAAATCCATTTTTTTTTCTTTCCTTACAAAAAAGGATGCAAAAATTATTAAAAACTAATATTAAAAAGAAATTCAAATTATAGAAAATTATTATCAATGTTCTATAAATTAAAAGAAAGTTTTACAACATAATTGCAAAAAAAAAATACATTCCAAAGAACTTAAAAATCTTAATTATTTTTTTGAGAAATTAAAAAAAATTTTCATAACTGAAAATAAAATGAAAAGTTGAATCTAAATACTTGAATAAAAAGTCAAATGTCAGACAACATTATCGTCAATATTTCATGTTACAGAAAATATTTTATAATAAAAAATTTATCAATCCTGTATTTTCCCACAAATTAAATTAAATTTTGTACTTAAATAAAAAAAAACCCGAGGAATAAAATTAGTAAAATAATTATTTAAAATTTAAAAATTTGTATTATAAATTATTTTTAATGAATATTTATTTTCCAATATTCTAGAAAGAAGTAAACAAGTTTGAGAACAAAGTATTATACCCTTTTTTTAATCTCAAACTCTATTATTATGATTATTAGAATTTGATAATTTAATTCTTCTTAATATTATATGAGATAAGTACACGTGTTATGAGGAAAAACCCACACAATAAGTAGAACTTAAAGATGAAATAACAGGGAAAGCAGTCAATGTCAAGATACAAGAAGAAGAGAGGGGTGAAGAACATAAATAGATTTGTTTCAATCTACACAGCTTAATTTGCAGAATCAATTTTCAAAGAGAGAGAGAGAGTGTGTGTTCTTAATTATAAAAATCATAATTCGATCATCCTTACACGGTAATTATGTCGATTAGTTTTTATTTTCTTTTTGTTATTAATTAAAATAATATCATTAATAAGTGCAATTTTATTTGTTTGTGAAAAAATAGTGCAAAGTGACAAAAAAAATGTAATTAAAAAATATATGTGAAATGTGAATAGTTTTAAAGTTCTGCATTATGAAAGTTTGCTTTAAAAAAAATTTTTTTTAATTACTTTGATAATTACTTGGTTTGGTAACAAGTTAAAAAACATTAATTGTTTTTATTTATTTTTTAAACAAATTAAAAAAAAATTAATTATCTAAATTTTAAATTCACATAAGAACGTGATTATGAAAAAAAAACTTGTACTTTTCTTTCCGCTTTGTTTACAAGACTCTGAATTTCAAATCAGTTTTAAAAACATCAATCCTGTATAGGATATGATGTAATAGGTACATTAGAAACTATTTTATGAATTGCAATAACATTGAAAATTTTTTAATGCGCACATTCTCTTACTTTTCAGATATCAAATTCCACATTAATATGTGGAAAATAATTTGCGCTCTCTTACTCTTTCAAAGAGCTTTGAGCGCTCCTTCTACAAGATGCACGGAAATATGCAATTCTCAGAATTCACAATATTTTTCAAATTGTTGTGCATCGCCTCTTGTTGCCTCTTCAAATAATAATAAAAATTGGTCTGATCATAAAGATTTTGAAACTCACGATGGTGCTCTCGTTCATACAAAGGAGGGTGAATTTGCCCATGGAAACACTCATGGCAATTTCAATGAGATGAGCTACTACAAAGAATTCAACAGTGGTGGTGACAAACATAATTTCGGAAATAATCAAAATTTTCCCAACAATCTTGGAATTAGTCAAAAATTAGAAGATCTATCTACATCTTCGCACAATACATTTGAAAGTATGTTTCAAACAAGATTCTCAGATTTTTTCAAACATTTTCATGAATCAATTAAACATTTACAAGAATTGAAAAGTAAAGATCAACTTCCAGTTCAAGATTGCGAATATCCTTGTGTACCAATAAATGAGCAAATTTCTCAATTACAACAAGAAATAACAACACAACAACAACGTATGGAACAAATGAAACAAGATTTTTGGTCAAATTGGAAAAATCAGAACACAGTAAGAGAAACAGAACACATTAATCCCAATCAACATTTAAGTCAATTAAATCATCATCCTGGACAAGTTACAAAAGAAACAAATCGTTATGAATCTTATCACAATGAAAAAATAACAACCAATCCTCACATTACTACGACAATCACTAAACAACCCGATAAATATATTATATCACCTAGTCAATCTCAATTATCAAGTCAAGATCATCATTCTGGATCAGTAAGTAGGTATGAATCTTCACGAAATTCTCAATCCAGAACTCAAGATCAAAATAATAATTATCGACAAAATTCATCTCCTGATCAATCTCCAAATGCAAGTCAAGATTATTATTCTGGATCAATAAGCAGACAAGAATCATCACGAAATTCTGCATCCGGAACTCGAGGTCAAACTGATTATCGTCGACAAAATTCATCTCCCGATCAATCTCAAAATTCAAGTCAAGATTATTATTCTGGATCAGTAAGCAGACAGGAATCTTCACGTTCACAAAATTCTGCATCTGGAACTCAAGGTCAAACTGATAATCATCGACAACATTCATCTCCTGACCAATCTCCAAATTCAAGTCAAGATTATTATTCTGGATCAATAAGCAGACAGGAATCTTCACGTTCACAAAATTCTGCATCTGGAACTCGAGGTCAAACTGATTATCATCGACAAAATTCATCTCCTGATCAATCTCCAAATTCAAGTCAAGATTATTATTCTGGATCAGTAAGCAGACAGGAATCTTCACGTTCACAAAATTCTGTAACACAAGGTCAAACTGATTATAATCGACAAAATTCGATTTATAATTCTCAAAACAGAGTTTCTCAAACAGGTGATCATTCTTCCCAATACAATCAGGGAATTCAAAGTCAAGCTGGTTATACTGAAGACAATAAAAATTATGAATATCAAAATAGAGGCAAACTGCCGCAAAGAGCTGATCAACCTTCTTCTCAATATAAAGAAGAATATGGATCTAGTAATCAAAATCAAGCTGGTCATACTCAAGGTAACAATCAACAAAATATGGCCTATGGATATCATGCAAGCTACGGTTCCAAATCTTATTTTAGTACACACCCTCAAAGGGAATATGATCAAAATTCTGCCTACAGAACTCAACAGTCAGGATCTCAAATTGATGGATCTCAAACACAAACTGGATACAATCCTCAAAGTTCTGTAACAGTAAGTCACACTTCATTAAATGAGAATGGAAAATTAACGCATCATCTCATTCAACAGTCAGGATCTCAAGGATATGGTCAACAGAATTCCGCCTATAGAACACAACAATCAGGATATCAAACTGATGGTTCGCAAACACAAACTGGAGTTAATCCTCAAAGTTCTAGAACAGTAAGTCATACTTCATTAACTCAGAATCATGGTGCTGATTTTGGATCTAGAACTAATGGAAAATTAACGCATGGTCTCATTCAAATGGGCTCTGCAGTTGATTGCAATGACGAAGTTTCATCTGCACCTTACACAAGATACAAGCGAAACATTTATTATCCGAATCGTCATCATTATCACCATCATCACAATCATCATTATCATAATCAACAACAATACCCTGAAGATTTTAGTCAACAACAATTACAAGATAATTTCCCACAATCTAATCAGCAGACAGAAGATTTTGGAGAGCCAACAAAAATTGAAAAAATTTCACAAAAAGAACTTCAGGAACTTGGTCAACAAATTGAGGATATTCGTCAGGGAAAAGTGGATACGCAAGATATATATCAAGATTATTCTCCTGAGCAAAGAAAAACTTCCGAAGATTTATCTCAAATAATTCAACAAATTCCTTCTCATTTCAAAACTCAGTCCCAAGAGGCTGATGATGAACAAATTAAGGATCTCCCCAGAAGAGGATTTAATCAAAAAACGGTAGGATCACTTACGTTAGATCAGCATGCACAAGATTCTTTTAATTTTAACCAGTTTCCAACTACAGTTTTAGCTCCCAACAGCAATCCAGCGGGGAATCAAAGGTTTGACGGAATAAATCATCAACAACAAATAATTTCAACTCCAAGGCCAGCTCCAAAGCCAACTTCTCGACCAAGAAACACTAAACCAAATCCATTTTTTGACAACAATGTATCAACAATAAAAAATTCAACAGAGAATCAAGTTTTAATACCACCAAATAAATTTGGTGAACTCAAGTCTGACGAAGAATTTTTTCAAATTCCACAAACTGATGACAAGTTTTCACTTGTTGATAAATCTGAAAATGTGTCTCATCACATTATGAAACCTGATGAAATTTTACAGAAGCATGAAAACACATTGAAGGATATTTCTCAGCAAATTGTGAAAGAAGAACCTTTACAGAAGCGTAACAATCTTTTTGAAATCTTATCACAAGAAGGTTTGAAACCAAATTCTCATCAAAAGCATGAAAATCCTTTAACAGAAACTCCTTTTGAAATATCTCAAGATGTTTTAAAACCACGTGAAAATCCTTACCAGAAGCATGAAAATCCTTTTCAAGATTTTTCCCAACAAACTTTAAATCCTCGTGAAGAAACTTTTCATCAGCAACATGTCAATTCTTTTCAAGATTTCCCCCAACAATATTTTAATCCTCATGAGGAATCATTAAATCAGCAGCATGTAAATCCATTTGAAGATTTTTCCCAACAAATCTTGAATCCTCCTCAAGAATCTTTTTATCAGCAACATGTAAATCCTTCTCAAGATTTTTCCCACCAAATTTTGAATCCTCCTGAAGAATCTTTTCATCAGCAGCATGTAAATTCTTTTGATGATTTTTCTCAACAACTTTTAAAATCTCGTGAAGAATCATTTCAAAATCAAAAATCACCATTTGAAGATTTTTCCCAGCAAATAATTCAAACATCCAACGAACATTCTTTTCCTAAAAATGAAAAACCTTTAGTTAACGAAAAGATTTCTAATACAAATATAATGCAAAATATTGAAAAACCTTCTGTAAATTTTCCTCATGAAACAGTTCAAAAGCCACTTGACGATTTTTCACAACATATACAAAAATCACTTGAGGATATTTTAGATTCAAAAGGTCCAAAACCCTTTGAGGACTTGTCGTCTCAACAAATTCAAATAACCAATGGATTTATTTCACATGTAACACCATTTGAAAATTTCTCTTCACAAAATCAAATCTCCCGTGACGATTCTCTGAAAAATATTCCAAATTCCTTTGATAATGATTTTCAACAAAATAAAAATTTATCTCAAGAAATTGAAAACGCTTTTCAACAATTATCACAACATATACAAAAAGTTTATCAAGACTTATCGCAAACTTCTGATGATCTCACTAGAAACAAAGACATAACTCAGCTACCTCAATCATTTCAAGAACAAAATAAAATGACGCATCATTCTAATTTAGATATTGATCAACAACCACAAGAAATTTCACTTGGTCATCAATGGCATCTTTTTCACAATCCTGGTGAATTAACAAATGAGGATTTGCAATTGGGAAGATTTTTAGGTACTGTTCAGCAAACGGAAAAATTTGATGATACTCAAGTAATGGAGGAAATTCCAATTAGTAGAAAAGAAAAAGAATTAACATTTGATCAGCAAAGTGAGCAATTAGAACCTTGGAAAGAGAAAGTAAATACGTTTGGTAAATTGGAATTCGGTCAAAGTGTACAAAATGAAGGAAACAATCCACAAATTCAAAGTGAATTACCACCGTTGTTAAATTTACAACCAAGAATTTTACAAGCTTATGGAGGAAAAGGTCCTTATGATCCAATGCATAGTGAAGATATTTTCAGTGATGTTAGACAAAATCCTAGTGCAACTTTGCTTCCTGTTGTGATTGATGATCCATGGGATATACACGAGAAGCCCATTGTATCTTTCGAACCAATGATTAATGAAGATAAAGTAATTCCATTAGATACAGTATGGATATATCCGGATGCATTTCCTATTACTCCAATTACTGAGAAACCAAATCCTGGATTTTGGGATAGAGTTGGACGTAAATTCTCAAGTGCTGTCGATAAAGCGAAGGATAAAGCAAGAGGAATTTTTGGTTGAATCTAAAATTTTTAAATAGATAATTTTGTACATTGAAAGATATTAGCAATTTTTTTTAACTTAAACATTAAAATATCTCATCAATTTCTCAGTACATCAACACATTGATAATAACAATTAAGTTTAAATAGGTGAAATAGATTTTTTTTTTACATATTGCTTTATCGTGAGTATTATGAAAAGAATCTGTGAAAAATAATCATGACTTTACTCTTGAATTATTTTGCGAGTTAATGTATTTTTGAGTATTTATAAAAAAAAAGCAGTTATTTAACTTAAGTTAAAACTATCTTATATAATGTACATTAATCATCGATGTGATGATATAAAATTATAAACAATCATCATGTTGCATCATTTTTATCATCATCAAACTGATGAATAAAAGATTACAATTCAGAATCTTGAAAAACAAATAATTTTCTTTTATTTACCGTTAATGATAATTTTTTTGTATGAAAACAATTTAAAATAGTTTCTTGTTGAATTCATAAACATCATAAATAAAAAAAAAAAAATAATTATGTTAAAGATTTAAATTAAAACTAATTTGTACATTTTGACTGATATATAGTTAATACTTTTCATTAGCTTAAGTATATAAAATACTTGTTAAATATTGTAGCAAAATGTATTTAATGAAATAAATCATTGAAAAAAAAGGTTAATGATTTTCTTTTTCAAATAAACAAAATACATATTTTATTTGTACTCAAATTAATAATACTGCAAAAAAGTGTATATTGTGTAAAATTTGTTGATTAAATTTTTTTTAAAAATTATTGTAAAATTAATAAATTATGTGAATAATATAAATGAAAACAAAGATATACATACAGGTGGGAGATTCTTGAAAAATCGAACAAAGCCTTGTTGAGTTGATGGATCTATAAAATTGAAAATAAAATGTAAAATTCAATATTACAAATATTTTATGATAAATCATAAGATAATTATTTTAAAATACTGATGGATTGATTAAAAATTGCATTTATAAATTAGTTTTTACACATTAAAGTTATTAAATAAAACTTTATAGGTTATGAATGTAATGAACAATAAATCACAAACTTACCAATTGTAATTTGTTGATTTGCTTGAACAGCCATTTCGTAATACTGGGAAAATACTTAAATTTAACTAAATAACAGTCCTATACAATAAAAATAATGAGATTTTTAATTAATTATATATAAAAATCACAACACTCTTTGTTTTCTATTTTGTGCTTCTCACATGTAAAAAGGCGCGAATTATTTTCTCTAGCGGACATTAATCGAACTAAAAATTAGCCTATCAAATTCTTGTATTATGGCGGTAAATTAAAAAATTTTTAAAAGTACAAAATAATAATTAAAAATTTTATTTCAATTTAAATTTTGAATAAATTTAAAATAATTATTTTGACTATTTTAAACAATATCATATAAATAATATTAATTTATAGAATAGAAATATTTAATAAGTTGACATTAGCTTGTCATTTATTTGAACGTTTACAAATTAACCAAAGTAAATAACACAAATTTTTTTTTATAAAAATTAATTTCGTAAAACTAATTGCAAATTATGGATCCCATAAAATTACGATTTTTAACAGAGAGATACAAGAAAGAAAATAAATATGTAATTTTAATAGGAGAATTTAAACCTTCCATTAGATCTAAACCGATAACTGGTAAATTTTATGCAAAACACGATGCTTTATCAATTGAAAATGTTCCCGAAGATTTTATAAAATTTATAATAAAAAAAAAGAATGCAACACCAAAAGATTTCTACTCATATCCACCTCCAACTGTTAATATGAAGTAATTAATGAAAATTTTCTTTTTTATATTATACATAATAATTATGTCTAATTGCATTATTAAATTTAATAATTATTTATTATTCCTTTTTTTGTATTTTATTATTTATTTTAGTTACGGTTGGTTTAACGAGCCATTAATTCATCGATCAAAAGATCCAAGATTACAATTTGCAAGAAAAGGAAATAAATTTATAAAAACAGAACAAATAATAAGATACCTAAATCGTGGACTGCCTGTTTCTAAATTTGTTGGAATTCCATTCAAAAGCTAATTTTTACATTTTATAAAATCATCGCATCTAAAAATAACAATTAAATTAAAATTATTAAATAACAATGATTTTTAAAAGACACAATAAAAAATATTATTAGAAATACGAAATCGTTTCTACTTGCGTATTTATTAATTAATCTAAAAAATTTTAATTGGACTTTTTTTCTAAGGATGAAGAATATATTATTAGAATATAATTTATTAAATATTTATATTTATTTAATAGATTGAATTAAATTAATATTAATTAGATTATCAAATTGAACAAATTGAAACTATTCGAAATTCAATAGTATTGTTATGTTCCCGTATCCTGGCAACCAACACTGAAGTCCTTACTCGATTTGCTAGTTAAAGTGTACTGTACACATTTTTTTATTAGCTAACCATCAATACTTTTTTTTTAAACTAGATTAAATGTTTTGCAAATTAAAATTATAGTATTGCTCTTCTAAAACATTATGTATATTTTTGAAATTTAATTAATTCAATTTTAAATTCGATTCTAGAATGACTCCTAAAATATAATGATAACCCTAATAAATCTAAAAAAAGATAAATAAACAATAATCATGTCAGGAAGAGGATTTTGCATTAAAGTAGAAATTGATTTACATGCTGTAAGTATTTTCATTTCTGAATTTTCATCTCTTCTAATTATTAAATTATCAATTAAAATTAATTTTCTTCTGCAAATTTTAAGTTTAAATTTTTCTTTTCAGATCACGTGTCCTGGAGTTTGGCTCTGTCCTAATGGCAAAGTGGCACTTCGCATAAATACTTTAAAGTCGTCTATTGAATCTCATCGAATTTCGCCAATTTTTCCATTATTATTTCATGATAAATTTACCTTTAAAATGGTCTTTCGCGGAGTTACTTCCCTTGCCGCTTTGCAATGTAGTTTAGAGGATGAATTTTTCTATGCAGAATTATTGCAATGGACCGAAAATTCCACTGGATTTGTGATTTTATCGACGTTTGAAACAAATTTAGCTGATTTATTATATCCTTCATCTTGCTTTAAAGGATTGCTTGCTGGTGTTGATGTTGATTTGTTGATGGAGCCCACCAAATTTTTTCCCGTAGGTTTAAAAAATTCAATAGCTACAAAATAAAAAATAAGTTTGAATTATTGAAAATTAAATAAATAAAAAAATTTTCAGGGTATTTTGGCTCCAAAAATAGAAGTTTCAACAAAAACAATGGTGGAAGAAATTGTTGGAATTTGTGATTCGAATGCAACAGGAGCATTCGTTATGAATCCGAAAGTAATTCATTCCAAGGTAAACTATCAACTTTTCAAATGAGCTTTACATAATTAATTTTTTATTAAATCACAATTTTTAGAATGCATCCAATATTAATCGGAAACAGCCTACAAAGGGAATTATTAGACAAAGAAAAGTTTGTCATAGTAAAGGAAAAGCTAAATATCAACCTTGTCATTCGTAAGTATATTAAAAAAAAATTTTAAGTTATTAATTAACAATTAAATTTTTTAAATAAATTTTAATTCACAGATGTAAAAAAGTAACAAGGCTAAAAGTTGCAAGATCTTGTTCTCCAGTGTCATCTGATCGTAATACTGAATCACCGTTTGAATGTTATCATAAACAATCGAAAATATCCAATTCTAGTTGTGCTAAATCTCAAAAAAATTGTCTTAATCGAGAAAATCATAAATTTGAAAATTGTCCCGTTTGCTCAAAATATAATTGTTATTTTTCTGAAAATTCATATGAAAAAGAAGATTTCTGTTGTAATAAATGTGAGAACAAGAAAATAATTAATTCCCCCGTAAAAACTCATGAAGCAATAAATTCACAATTAGAAAAAGAAAATAATTACGAATTTCGACCTAAAAGTGTTCCTTCATTAAAAGATCCAGGAAATTCAATGTTAGTATTTTTTAAAATAATTATTTCTTTAATGAAAATTAAATTTAAAAATTGAAAACTTAAATTAAAAAAAATGTTTAATTTTTTCAGTTTAAGAGATAGAATACATCATCTTCAAAAAGCAAAAGAAAAATTCTCTAATGACACTTGCATTGCAGACAGGTAAAAAAAATTTTTAAATTATGCCTCGAATTTATTTTCCACATTCTCGAATAATTAATTTTCATTTTAATTTGTTAGCGCCTGTGTTTGTGATCCATCTTATGATTATTGTGATCACAATAGACCAGCATTTTATAAAAATTTAGAAAAATTTTATAAAAGAATGTATAAACAAGCAAAACTACGTGCTGAACAAATGGATTGTTATTGAGATTTTATCAATCTTTGCTGGATGAATAATTTACATTAATTTTTTGAAGAATTTTCGTTTTATTATATAATGTTTGCTATTTACTGTTTGTCCAATAAATGTGGTTAATATTAAAAATTTTAATTTAATTCTCTTACCTTTTCTTTTATCCATAAAAAAAATTCCCCCGTCATTTTTTTTAAATGAAACATTTTAAATTTCCTTTTTTATCTTACAAAAAGGACTTTATTCTATCTAGGTTTGTATAAAAAAAATTTTCTTTACATATTTACACAAGACCTCTTTTTTTCAATAATCTTTTTTGACGTAAATCGCTCTTCCTTTTTTGTATGCTGGGCTATTTAATATTCTCATTCCTCGAAGATTTACTGATTTTTTCAAAAGAGCAGGAGTTCTTAAAAATAATCCTCTTCCTTCTGGTGTCCAAGCTCTCAATAAAACACGTTCATCAGTATTTGGCGTAATTGATACCCAACCTTAAAAAAAAAATGTAAATTTACAATAGAAATAGTCTTAAAATTATATTTTAAAACTAAATGAACAATATTTACCAGCACTAGAAAGTACAACGTCTGCAGCCGATTCTTCTTCAGAAATTCCTATAACTTCCATATCTTTAGATGTTAATTTTGGCCATAATTTTAATCGTTCCGGTTTATTAATAGGAACTCCAAAAGCTTTAGTGTGTAATAATTCACTGTAAAGATCATCAGCAAAGATTGTTTTACAAATTGTCAATGGAAGTTGATGGCTTGAAAAAACTGTAAATCTGAAGAAAAAAAAAATAAAATTATTAATAAATAAATTTAATACACACGATGCCGGATGCAATACCTTAAAAACGAAGGAACTTCCAAAAAATCGATTCTGCCCATTCCAGCAAGGAATAAAGTGTGTTCTTCTCGAATAACAAAAGTTCGTGGAACAATTATTCGATTTGGTAATGTCATCATTAATTCATCAGTGGTTAATAAATGTAAAATTTGATCAGGATGAATACTTCCGGGAGTGTCATAACACCATTTACTGAATTTAAATTCCTCTGTATTTTCATCTAAACCAAATTTATTCTTAGTTATCATTTTATGTGAGCCCATATTAAAATTGTCTATCGATTCTTTTCTCACTGGAGCTTCGAATGTTTTTCCGATTCTTCCTGAAATGGAAATAAATTGCACGTTTTATTTATTTAGTAAAGAAATTTTTTTTTTTTTATAAAAATACAAACCTTGAAGTGTAGCGAAAAGAATGTTTCTCGATACATTAAACTGATGTCTGAGTAATTTTTGATTTAAATGTTTATTTTCACGTTCGGCGAGAATTCTTTTAGTTCTCTCAAAAATTCGCCATTTAGTGGGATTAGTTAAGGGAAATTTAAGTAAACTTAATGTTGTTCCTGGCCAGGGAGAAGTTGTCGCTCGTTGTATAAGATCGACAGCTTGTACTTTGCAAAAATCAGATTGCAAGAATGCATTAAATAAAGAAGATTTTCCAACATTCGTACAACCTATTAGATAAATATCACCTGAAAACAAAAAAAGGTTTAATATGAAAAAATTTTTTAAATTCAATTTCTAACTTTGAAAAAAACGTACTTTTATAGTGCCACAATCTTTGTAATTTTGTAATAAGTTCTTCAATACCAAAACCAGACTTCGCTGATATAAGTGAAACATGTTTTATATTTTTCTCTCTAATACCAGTTTTTAAAACTTCATTTCGTAAACATTCTGTAATGTGATAGAAAAATCCAGGACTATCTTGAGGTAGTAGATCTATTTTATTGCCAACAATATAGACAGGAGTTCTACGTCCAATAATGGAACTTATATTTGGCCAAATACTACTGGGAAAATCTGTCAGATCAACCATTAAAATAACAGAACAACTTTTTTCCTTTATGACACTTAACAATTTAGGATAATCTTCTGTATCAACTTTAACATCAAGTGCGGTATTATAAAATTTCATAAAATGACAACGTTGACAAATTAATGATTTGAGAACGTCCTTTTTTTGATTTTCAAATAATTCTGATGGTAAATAACCGGGAATTTCAGAATCTTTACAATGAAGTAATGCACCACATCCACCACATGGAATAGAACTAACTTTTGAATCTGGTTTCGGTGTACCGTATTGAGCTTCCCAAGAATCATCATCAATTTTATCATTAAATGTTTCATAATCAGTCATCCAATTTGATGGAATTTTTGATAAATCATCTCCAAGTCGTACACACAGTTTACCTTTCAAAAAAAAGAAAATTATAAATTGTTTCTTAAAATTATATGAAAAAAAAAAATAAAAATTCTTACTCTGTAAGTTATCATCTTGTTTTGTACTTTCCATAGTTTCTAAATATTTTTCATAAAGAACTTTAAATTTTGTATTTAAAAGAATTTCACCATTATCTTCTACAGGTTCAATTATTTTTTTTTCAATTCTTTTAAAACTATCCTTCGCAGCATATGGCATATAAATAGGTTTTGAATCATCATCTAATTCTTCTGATGTAATATCTTTATCTTCTTCAATAAATTGTTGATTATTATCATTATCATCATCATTTTCATTTAAAGTAACACTAAATACAGGTGAATTAATGAGTTTCTCATTGTCTAAAAGCTCTATCTTCCTTTTCATTTTATTTATAATTATTTTATTTAATTTATGTCCAAACTTTAATGATCTTCTTTGAATATAATCAGAATATAATAATTCCTGACCCCATTTTTCAACTCGTGGATCAATTTCTCTTTTTTTTATTTCATTTTCATTTAAATTTACTAAATCATTAACAATTTTCGCATTGCGTTCTTGATAATGGACCAACATTTGGGAGCAGTATAACCCCAAATTAGATGGAGTCAATATTTTCTTATAACTAAGAGTTACTGAACGACTTACAAAAGTTTGTAACATCTTTTTGCGTTTAATATTAATTTTGTAAGTTAAACAATTATTTATCCTTTATTTACATTTGATTTTTGACTTTTCTTTTTAAGATAAACATGTGCAAGTTATCAATAAATAACCACATTTTTAGATTCAAAAAAGTGTTGTTGATCACGTTTTTTTTTAAAGTAAAATAAAACAAATATTTAATTTAGTGTCATTAAAAATTAAGGATAACTTTTTCAATATATATTTAATTAATTATATTTGAAAAATAGTATATTTAGAAAATTAATTTAATTTTCTAACCTCCAATTATACATTCCTTTAAAAATATTTTTATAAACAATCACTGTCATTTATGTCCGTTCACTAGATTTAAAAAGTATTTACATATTACATTTTTTAACAAAGTTTTTATATAATTTAATAAAATTATTAACTTAATATAAGAATAAATATTACTTTTATTTTAGTTTGTGTTTATTTTATTGTCAAAAGTTGAAATGTGTGTATGCACCTTAATGTGATCACGTGACCACAAGGATGTAATGCATGTGTGTAATGCGCTCCTCTCCCGCTAGAGGCAGCACTGAATGCGCGGTTTTATTTAAATAATAGTTTGAATTAATAAATTTAATTTATAAGATTAACACATAAAATATTGGCAAGCAACATGAGTAAATCGACTGAGTATTTTCTCACGCTAAAATATAAAACGGAAATGAGTCATAAACTGTAGAATAATAAAATGTGCAGTGGAGAAGACGAAAGCTGGATCCCTTGCAATAAATTTAACAGAAATTGAAATAATAAGAACGCGAACTTAAAGTACTCGTTTTAGATATTTGTCACGTTTTAGAATTTTATTTTATAGCTTTTATCCATTTTCTAAAGACATTCGAGTAAGCCGGGCATATGGTTGACCAAAGACCCCAAGGAACTCTTTGCCTGGGTAATAAAAAAGGGATCCTTTTGTTCGTCGCCTCCACTACTTCAGTATTGACCATATGATCGAGAAAACTTTCTCCTTTAGGACTTTTTCGGTTTTTCCAATTTTTTGCAATGACTCAGAGGAGAAGGGATGTACTCTTACCCTTCTCCCTTAGCACACCTAGGGGTGGGGGCAGATGCCCCAGAGGAGGACCATAACGACAGAGGGAAAAAGCATCAGTTATCTCGCAGAAAAGAAGCTATTGACACGTAAAAGTCTTAGCACGAGCGAAATTAACTATATTGTATAGTTTTAATAAACTCATCATTTTATTTTGTACATTAAAGTTTTGAACTTATTCTATTAAATCCCGACATCTAATTTTCTACAATTTTTTCACTTTTTGACAAATAATAAATAGTTTCACCGTTGGAGTTGAGCTTTTAAGCTCTTTATTGTGGGAACGGACCTCATCATCGTCGAGGATTCCGCATTGAAACTTGAACTTTCGAATTAAATTCTACTGTATGAAATCCAATATTTAAATTTGAAACGTTTACCGCGCAAAATCAGTTCGGCGCGTTACAAGGACTGCAAAGTGCTGCCATCTACTACTAAATTCTTCATTATGTTCACGCGTACAGTAATATGGCTGCCAAATAGATTATAGATAAGTGATTTGTGATTTAACTATTTGTGATTATTTTAATACGTGAAAATATTTTACAAGACGTTTAAATGTTTCATGCCCAAAAGGGCACTTAAATAAACGTGAGTTACATATCTTTCTTTTTTCTTGTTATTATAATATTGTTCTAATCTTTTAATTGTTTTACGCACACAATGTGAAAATTTCATACTTTTTGTTGGAATTCAGTTTTTTTTCATTGTTCCAGTAATTAAAAATATATTGCCATAATTAAAACAATAGAAATGAATTGAAATTAATGACTAAATAGTTAAATTTTGCTATTTTGCTTAATTACCATGCATATTCAACATTTAATATACGCATTCAAATTGACAATTATTTTTTTAGGTTATCTTTTTTTGCAAATGTCAAATGAGTTTATATTTGCTAATAAATAGCATTAGTTTAGTTGTTTCATGGTAATTTGACTTTATTTCAACTTATACATTTTATAATGTTATAATATTGAATGGATCATATTTTATTTATCAATTTATCGAAGTTTTAATTCTTTTTTTTATTTGGCAAAAAATGTCGAGTACAGTTGTACTCAGAACAAATTCATATATATTTAAAGTAAATCCGGTTAAATTTACTTCATTTATGTAGGATTTTTGCAATAACAAATTATGCAAATAATTAATCGTTATTATATACAAATACATTACAATTAGAAATATAAAATAATACTATATTTCTATAATTGGCGTAAATGTTCGTGTGAGTTTTATTTTTGGTTTACTATTGTTATTATTTTGTCTTTACAATTTATCATTTGTAGTTTTATCATTTTTGCAAGTCTAATAATTGGCATCAATAAAAAAAATTGGAAATTAGCCAAACTTTTCATTTGTTATCTCGTGAATAAATATTCAAATTATTTGCAAAATTTGAAAATATTTGATTTGACAGTTATCTTTTATCAAACTATTAATTGCAAATTTTTCCGTTTTTTCAATGTTATATTCTTATTCCTACAAAGTTTCACATTGTTTTATTATTAAAAATATGTTTTTATATATCCTCATTTCGAGTTTTTTTTTTTAAAATAACTTTTCATGTTTACTAAAAATTGACAATTAAAATTTATATTTATTTTTCAATATTTGTTTTCAAAACTATTTATATTGCAATGTTAATTTAGTATAAATATGAATTTACAAAAAAATAAATTTTTAAAATATATATTTTTAAATATAAATTTTTAAAATATATATTTTTAAATATAAATTTATAGAATATAAATTTAATATTTTATTCGTTTTTTAAACAGTTTTATATCGGCTTTTAAACCAAACTATATAAGTTGTGTATACAAAATTAAGAAATCAAAACAGTTTATTTTAAACAAAGGTTACATAATTTTATATATATATATATATATCAAGAAGTATTTTTTACCATTAAAAGAAAATAATTTTTTTTTGTATCTTTTAAATATATAATGCATTTGAATGTGTAAAAAAAATATTTAAAAAAAATTACAAATTCATAAAAATAGTCATTTTCATGCTATTTTCAAATAAATAAGACAATTAATGCTTCCGATTATTGTGAATATGTATATAGAGAAGGACAGTATTTTTGGCCAAAGATGACTCAACGTCACCTACACAAAGTCATTTACTTTACTTTCAAATAATCATTGGTTTCTCTCAACGAGTATAAAAAAATTCGAAAAGACTTTATGTCTTTTTCAATATAAAATTCTTTTCTTTTTTTTTTTTTTTTAAATATAAAATTGATACGAAATATCAAATTGATTACAATATTTGATTATTTCCTTTAAATGTATTTGGTAATAATTGTTTATCTTTTTTTTTCCCGATGATATATGCTTGCAATATGGAGTGATGATTATGTATAGATCCACAAATGGAAAGATAATCACTTATTTATCACCTTTAGTAACCAGGAATAGAAATGAGAATTTCTTATGGAAAAGGCTAATCGCGAGAAAAATACTTAACCGTATAGCAATTGCATTAGTTCATGTTATTTGGTTCGTTAATTACCTGAAACGAACAATCCAGGATGGTCAGAGACGATGGATCTGGGTCGGTCTAAAATAGCAGCTACTGCATTCACCTAACACCCCCACTTTGTGGTACGTCGGTTGGCGTCTCAATGAAGAAGAAATCTTGTTAAAAATTATACTTTTTCGATGATATCTAATCAATTATTTCCATGTGTATTTGATGAATCTCAAATGTGAGGAAGGAATTCTTTCTTAATTTCAATTTGAGGATTAATTAATTTTAATCTTGATTCAGGTATACATTTTATAATATCATTTATAATTATAATAATTTTAATTATTATAATTATAATAATTTTAATTATTATAATTATTATAATTATTATAATTATAATAATTGAAAATTATGAATTAAGTTTATTTGAAATTTTTTCCCTTGGTCGACGAATTTTCTTCTTGTAAATTAATTTTTTTCCCTGATCTTTAATAATTTTTTAATAATGATAAAATTCGATAAGACAATTGAGAAGCTTTAAATCTTTAAACGATTGTTTATCACCTTGTTAATGTTGCTGAAAATGTAAACTCTTTCGAAATATTTGAAAATACCTCGAAAATAATTGAAGTAAATATTATTTTAAAAATAGAATTTGAAAATGAGAGTTATAAATGAATTGCATCGAGTGGAAAATATGAGTTTTGATATATTTTTGAGTGAATAGTTTACTCGTTGCAAGGATAGAAGGATTTGTATAGGATTCTGTATGTCTTCAGCTTTAGCGATTTATTATCAAAAATTTTATATTTTTTTTTTCAATTATAGGGAAAAAAAAAAATCTTCAAAATTTTTATTTTCCAAAAAGAAGATTATTTTTTTTTCCTGGGGTAGCGCCACGAAGCGTCTAAGACCGGAAGCTTTTATTACTGGCTCAAAGCCAGGAACCCCGAGGTTCACTGAGAAGCCGAGAAGGCAGCCCGAATCAGTCTGTGACATGGCCGCTTTCGCGCCGACAACGTTTTTCTATTTCGCGATATTTTAATGTTTAAAAAAAAAAAAATAATAATAAAAATTGACTCATTTTCTCTATATAGAAACGGAAGTTAATTATATACAGTGATAAACTTATAATAATATAATATTCTCTCTTCTCTCATCTCTCTCATTTCTTCTTTTGAAACAATTCTATTTTCAATTTAATAAATAAAATAAATGTTCACAATTCCAGAGCAATAGTCATATATTAGAAAATAGCAAAAGGAACTTCAGTATTTATGACTTTCAGCAAATAAAGCAACAAAAATCATTGAAAAAAAATTGAGGAATTCTACAAATCCTGGAGATCAACATTTTATTAATTTTTACAATAATTTATTATTGTAATGAAATTTTTATGAATAATTGGAAAATAGAAAATAACTTTAATCAGTGGAATTTTAAGGGTGAATTAAGATTTTTATTAAGGGTGAAGAAAGAAGAAATTAAAATGTAAGGAGTTAGAAGAAAAAAGTGTGTGAGGGAGAGAGAGAAAGAGAGAGAGAGAGTGAGAGAGAGAAAAAAGGAAATACAAAAAAAAAAGAAAATGAAGAGATGAATGAAGTGGATGCCTGAAGAATCATATGAAGCATCATTTATAATTATTATGAAAAAACTACTTCTCTACGACACAATAACCATATTTTATCATTCCTTTATTGAAAAAGAGCATTCCTGGCAAGATTTTGTGAACATTGCGAAAGAAACAAGTTCGAAAAAAGATGTATAATTTTACAAGAGATAATTAGAGATTAGATTTAAAAAAAAAGAAAACTAAGAACTCCTTGCCTTCATCAAATTTCCAAGTGTCTTAAAAATATTCAATATATATTATTTATATAAATAAAAAAAAAAAAATATTTATAATTCTTGTTCCAGTTTATAGTATTTAATATACTATCAGTGCTCAATCGCAACATTTGTTATTAGTTCAATGTTGTATTGATATTTTAGAAATTTATATTATTTATAATAATCAATGATTAATGTATCATTGATGAAAAACAACAATTTACGTTGTTTACGATTTGAGTTGGTAAATTTGAAAAAAAAAAATTGAGGATTCAATGTGTCGAAGAATTTAAAGAAGAGCAAAAAAAAAAAAAGTGTGAAGATTAACAAAGTGGAGAAAAGAGTGTTAAAATAAGAAGATATTAAAAAAAAACAACAACATTAGTTGCTGCTATTAACTACATTAGAAAAATCATGGAACATCGCTGAGTTCGCGAGGATGCCTGAGCCGAGAGCAAAGCGCTGTAAACACTGTGATGGTATGCCATCTTGTTGGATGTGCATCAAATTAGCCTTAACAAGAAAAATCTATATGAGCGGCTTCAAAAAAAAAAAAAAACACCTTTTCTAATTTGGCATTATGTTTGCAGTTACACTAACATGAATTAACCAACAATTATATGGAAGCAAACTTATATCTTCAAATTTTGCTAATTTCTTAACTAGTGCATTTGTGTGTTAATTGTGTTGTATATATGTAAAAAATATGTGTTCCTATATTCAAGTGTTTCTGTCTTAAGAATGTTTCATTTAAATATTATTTCTTCATACATTTTATTAGAAATATATAATTTGTTCTTAAAATAAAGTAATTGTAATAAAATTGTTTCAACTGATAAAAAAAAAAAGAATGGTACTATTTTAATACCTTGCAAATTTTTACCATAGTAATAGTTATTTTGATTAATTATACACTGAGAGATAAAAAACTTCATTTTTTAAATTTTATTGAAATATTTATATCGCACTTTTTTTTTTTTTTTTGACATCTAATACTTATTTCAATTTCATTGTAATTTTTTTAAGGATAATAATTTCCTATATTAAAAAGAGAAATTATTTAATGAAAAGATAAAATTATCGTTTAGTAAAATGTAACTTTCTTAGATTGAAAAGAACACTTTTATGAGTGTAAAAATGTGTAAAAGTTTTGATTTCTCCTTATCTTTTATTGAGCGTTTAATCCAATTGTTAACATTTTATAATATATTGATATGAATATTTATATGCATGTCTGAATAATAAAAGCATATTCATTCGATTAATTTTTTTTTAAACAAAAATTTTAAAAACCATTTTTTTAATTTGGAAAAGGTTTTAAAGAGTGAAATTTATTTATTAAAAAAAAAAATAACTATGGTAACAGTTACGGTAAAAGTTACTATAGCAACGGATGCTGTGGTAACGGTTACCATAGCAACCGTTGCTATGGTGATTATAACAACTGTTGCCATGGTAACCGTTACTGTGTCTAAAGTTGACCATTTTTGACCCAATTTTTTTTATGTAAATTTGTAATTTTTTTCACCGTTTAAATATTTTATCGCATATACTGCATATCTCAGTGTATATAAAATAGAATTTTTAAAAATAGAAATACCTTCCAAAATGAATTATTCTCGGAGGAATTTATTTTTAAAAAATTATAATTATGCTATAAATCAATAGTTATGATTTAATTTATTTATAATTGAATTATATTTACTAATTGTATTTATTAATTATATACTTCATTTTATAATTATTGTTAGGGTTCCGTACACCTTTGGTGTACCGACGGAACCCTTATGAAAAGACTCTTGCGTTCGTCCCAGCTTTGTGTCCCCTCTCCTTAACTTCTACATTTTTTTATATAAAGAATTGCAATTTAGTACACATACGTATTTTCACGTGTAGATTACAGGAAAAATATAGCGAGACCGATTGGATTTGATCGAACTAGAAAGGAAAGAAATCGGTTTTTTTTTCAAAAAAGTTGCAAAAAATGACCCTGACTTTTTTCGACTTATTTTAATAAAATGCGACTTTTTCGACTTTTTTTTAAATTAAAAAAAATTTTTTTGAATAAATTACGATTTTTTTAGTATAAAATGCAGATCTTCTTCAGATCTTCTTTATTTCAATTATTTTAACAAATTTTTAACTAAAACTTTTCAGTAAATTAATTATTTTTAATAATTTTAATGGAATTTATCACAAATTCAAATATTTTGAAACTATTTTTCAATTAAAATTTTTATGAAATTTAATCATTGTATATAATTAAAAAAAATTAACAAAATAAAATTACCAAAAAATTCTAATAAATTCTTCATCAACAGAAATTATTAGAAATTTCTCTTAATATATTATATATTATTGTCTGAAAATTAACACAATCTTTTGAAATTAAATTATTTTCCAAAATTTCAATTAAAATTCAATTATTTACAAAATTTTCAATTAAAAATCTTTTAAAATTCAATTATTTTCCAAAATTTCAATTCAAAATCAATTATTTACGAAATTTTTAATTCAAAATCTTTTAAAATTCAAAAAATTTTACAAAATTTCCATTCAAAATCAAATAAAATTAAATTATTTTCAAAATTTTCAATACAAAATCAACTAAAATTCAATTATTTTCAAAAATTTAAATTTAAAAGCTTTTAAAATTTACCATCTAAAATTGTTTGAAATTTAATAATTTCAATTATAACTCTCTCATGAAATTTAATTATTTTTAACTATTTTCATAATATTATTCGAAAATTCAATTATCTGAAACCATTTTTTAATTAAAAATCACTTGAAGTTCAATTAATTTCAAAAATCTTAATTATAAATCATTGAAAATTCAATTACTTTTAAAAAATGTTATCTAAAATTATTTAATAAATTATTTTTAATTCTGTAAAATTTAATTATTGTCTGAAAATTAACAAAATCTTTTGAAATTCAATTATTTCTAAAAATTTCAACTTTATAACTCTTCTAAAATTATTATTATTTAAAAAAAAAAATTTTTATTTGAAAATCTGTAAAACTTTTTTTGTTAAAATAAAAAAAATCGACTTTTTTGACCTTTTTTTCGAACATAAATCGACTAAAACGACTTTTTTTGTGCCTGTAAGTCGATCCGAGGCCTGCATACGTATTTCACGTGTAGATTACAGGAAAAATATAGCGAGAAAATTCGGATTTGACCCCCTCCCCCCTTAAATTTTTTTGTAATTTATTTCTATATAAAAAAGAGGTTATTATTGTCGGTGTATACGGAACCCTTTGAATTAGTGCGAGTGCGCAACTTGTACTTGTCCGATTTTTTTTTATAATGTAAAACTTGTAAAATTTTATATAAAAAGATAAAAATTTAGAAGAAAAATTATATTAGATAAAAAATTGGCATATATATTGAGAATAAATTCTGATAGATAAAGATTACAGGTGGGTAGATTGATTAAACTAGGACGGGACTTTCGATGAAAAGTGAGTCTTAATTAGAAACAGGGTTTTGTCTGTGGGCCATCGTCGTATCTTGGTACTCACGACGAATGCGTAGAGCGCATTGCGCATTCCAATGGGATTGCAACGTATTTTTAAACTCCGGTTATTCACCCTTATATACATATATAAAGATACTTATACATACTCATAGTGAAATAGAATCATATAAAAATTCAGATTGTTTATGCAATTTCAAATTGAGAAAAAAATTTTTTCACCAGTTTTCCTTCTTTAGATAAATTTAAAAAGAATGCAGTTATTGCTAGCTTAATATATCACTTTTCTTTCTATATAAGTATTTGTATAAATGTATAAATATTTTTATAAATTGTAAGAGTATTTAAAAAAAAGTTTTAATTGAATTTTTAAAAAAAAAATTATTTATTAATCGTAATTTTGTTTAAAAAAAATTTATCGTTTATTGCTTACATAATATTATAATGTATACATTTCTTAGTCATACAAAATTTTACCTGATATTTTGGCGAAATAGAGAGAAAGAGAACTATACTGAGAATCAAGATATAGATTCATATGAAAAAATTTTTGCGTAGGCTGTAATGGTTTGACAAGCACCCAACGAAATGAAATTGTCGCCCGCTATTCATAAATCTCGAATCTAAAAGTGCTTTCCTCATCTGAACATAAGTTCTTCTTTACTTTCCTTCGTTTAAATTCTTGGTTTTCTTTTTTTTTTCTTCATTCATGCTTCTTTCACATTGGTAGAAATACTTTTTGAAATATAGTTGTTATTTTAGTTTCAGCGGTGTCTATTTACAGGATATGCCAAACTTTTGATTTCTCATTTCTAAGAGAGTTTAAAAGTTTGTGACAAGATTATGGAAATAAAATTTTTTGCAAATTTTTATTTGTAATTTATAAATTTTAATTGAAAATTTTGAATAAAATTTCGCGAATTTAAAATTAGTTGTATTTTGAACTATTTTGTGTATTGGAAATTCATTGGAAAATAAAGCTCGCGCGTAAATTTCTTGAAAATCGTATCTTTTATCTTGTTTAATCATAAAACCTGAAGGATGATTTGGTGTATAAAAGTTAGATAAACCAGCCGAGCAATGCAGATTTGGCATATGGTCCAGGAAGAAGCACTGTTTACCGAGTTGCAGCCTCCATTCTCGTCCTCTTTTTACACTCCTCCCCTACTTGCCTCTCGTCGTTCCGAAGAGGATGACCTGGATAGTTACCAAGTATATAGGTTTTTGTTGTACAGAGGCCTTTCATTTTTTTTTACCTTAATTTTTCATCACTTTCGTTTACTCGTAATTTCTAAAAATTAGAAAACATTTCATCAATACATAAAATAATAAAAACTAGCATATTTTTTTTTTTTTTTAAAATATCGAAATTGATCGATCAGTTGTTCGAACTTCACTTATTTCTGTGTCAGACGCGCGGGACAATCAAATTTACGCGCCCCAATGCCAATGTTAAAGCGCGCAGAGAGAAAGAGAGGAAGACAAAATTAACTTGAGTCACGAGCTTACTGGCTCTCGACAGTAGCGTGTCTTGCCAAAAAATTTTATAAGAGTAATGCATAATTTGTTCAACTGTCTAAGTAGTATCTCATCAGTTGTTTACCGCTTCTTGGTTAACGAAATCTGACAGTACTTATCTGATACTGTATATACTACTGCTCACTGCTATCTCAAAACCTCATCAAATGTTCTCTGGCATCGAAAGTCGAGTTGATCCAATATTCGCTTCGTATATACATTATATCAATTATTCACGCTAAGGATTATTTTAAATTATGTCTATATGTTACATTTGTGATATAAATTTCACTTCAAAAATATATTCAATTTTTTTTTTTTATGGACTTTTAAGAATTTATTAAAAAAACATGTTTATCGAGAAAATATCACGTTTCACTTAAACAAGGAAAGTTTTCGCTATTCTAGAGAAACATATAGCTAATCTAGATAAGAATTTTTTAACGATTTTTAATTTTCTATTTCGCGGCAATAGCGCA